TGTATTAAAAACCCAAGTTATAACCAATAGTTTATAACTTCAAACCGTGTAAATTAAACAATGGTTATGGCAAGGGGTCGAAAATGTCATTAAACCGAGTATGAAAGTTGTCAGTGTAAATTAACTTTATTCAGCATAAATGAAAAACATTTTTATTTCACAATAAACAAGACAAAAATACAAAAACTATTTTTTTTATGATTATTCAAATAAGTACCTGTATAGCCGGAACAAAATAGTAAAACTAAGAAAAAATACTCGAAATAATTAATAACACCCAATGTTTTGGTTAGCTATAACAACAATAAAGCCAATGTAACCTACATAGACCTCAGTATTTGTGTAGTCTCTAGTTTTAAGTCAAGTATACGTATCATGTTGATTATATGTAAATTAAAAATAAAACACTTTGAACTTTGACACTGGTTATTTTGTTTTTTGTGATAGATAATAGTTTATATGTTAAAATAATCCAGAAATGTAAAAATATATTTTATTTAAAATCAAATACGTGTCAGTGAAGTTAACTAATAAACGGTATCAGCATTCTGACACATACTTTCTCCCATAAGTTTATCAACAACCTTTATCATGTGTAAGCAGTTAGAGTAAATATACGGAAATGGGATTTGTACAATTTTGTTCAGAATTTAAAGGACTATAACATACTAAATTTTTATCAAAATTGTTCGGGCCATTTTTGGGGAAATCCGATTTTTCCGTTATTTTATGGGGTTTTTATGGGAAAATAACATAATTTACAATAACTTTTGAACCGTAATTTTTACAGAAATGGGATCTATACCATTTTGTTCAGAATATAAAGGAGTATAACATACTAAATGTTTATCAAAATCGTTCGGGCCATTTTTGGGAAAATCCTATTTTTCCGTTATTTTATGGAGTTTTATGGGAAAATCCCCATTAAAAATCAAAATTTCAAAAAAATTAAAAAAAAAATTCTGGAGATAACATGGATTAGAACCTACATACCAAATTTCATCGAAATCGGACCACAGGTGTAGTCCCTAGCTCTGTACACATCCAGACACACAGACACACACACAGACATCACTTCGAAAACCACATTTTTGGGTCCGGGGGGACCCAAAACGGATATATCCACTCAAAACTCAAACTCTAAAATGTTGACGAAAACAATACTTTCTCCATATACTATGGTATAGGGGGAGAAAGTAAAATCACTTAATTAAAAAAAAATTACATTTCGTCATTCGTTTGCCCTTTATATTATATTTCAAAGACAGTACACTCATTTGCTCCCGCTGAACTAATGAGAAACACGCAATACATACAACAATGGCCCCGTTTCTTTCCCTACGACTTCGTTTACCAAAGCAAGCGTAATTCTTTAACAAGGTCATTATTCAAGATTGAAGTTCCTCTCTGCATATTGTGTCGCTGGTTCGTTCCTTACACCTACTGTACAAACAGTAATGAGGTACATCACTCGTAATGAACATGACCATAACATGTGGAAGTTGGAAGTTAAAACTTGAATATAGTAAGTTATAAATAAATCAGAGTTATAACTTGTTGCAATAATGAAACAATTTTGGTTTTTGTGTTTTCCCTCTGTGCATTTTGATGAAATTTTGTGTATTGGTACTCAGTAACCACGGTATCTCGTGTTTCATATTTTTAAAGTTGATTTTAGCTGTAATTTTTCCACAACAAAAAAGTAAAAATGTAGTCGGAATTAAAATAAAACACAGCTCCAGCAATTTTGATTAAAATTCAGTACGTTATTGCCCTTTCAACTCTAAACAAAACGGTACAACCATTGCTGCAAAGATTGCGGTTCAAATGATAATGCAGCTTTTGTGATTTTCCCATTAAAGCCCATAAAATAACGGAAATTTTTTTTTAAAAAGCTACCGGACTGATTTTGATGACAATATTTAATATTATAGTCCTTTATACTCTAAACAAAACGGCACAAACCCCGTTGCTGTGAAAATTGTGGTTTTAAAAATAAATGCAGGTTTTGTGAGTTTCCCCATCACACGACATAGTTATTCCCACCGCTTACCCCAATTGCTGTGAAAATTACGGTTCAAAAGTAAATGCAGCTCTTGTAAGCTTCCCCATAAAACATCATAGAGCTACTCCCACCGCTTACCCATGATAAGGGTTGTTGACAGGCTAATGTGAGAAGGTATGAGTCAGAATGCTGATTCCATTGTTTTTATTTTAGTTGGATTGTCCTACTATTTGGTTTACAGCTGCCGTAGTAGGTCTTAAAAAAACACAGGTTCGAATTTTGTTTTTTTACTCTTTACTTGGAATTAGTGAATTTACGATATTGAACCATGTCTAGCCTACACAGGAAGATCTGTCAAACTTAACTAGTAAACTATTTAAATAAATCGCTGTATTTTACTCACAGCTTATTTACATAAGAAGTATACCATTTTAAGCACATGGACATAAGAAAATGCACACATCATCAATTTATGGTTTAAATAACGATGACAATAAATTCAGGGTAAGCTACGCCCCCGCAATATGGGGGAAGTAGCAGCACATGTGCCTCATTGTCGCCAGGGAACGACTTAGCTCAGGTTTATGTCCTTGGAAATCAATATAACACTTGAGAAGTTGGATTGTACAAGTACAGTGCAACGTCTAGCTCCACACCTGAATCGTAACTGGAAATTGCTCAGAGATGCGTTGTTTACCAATGATGTTCTTCCCCTTATTTATGCCCATCTATTTACGTTGCGTTGCCCGATGGACCCGACCACAATACTAGTTAGTAACCGCGTGTGTGTAAAATTATTTTTGTAAATATAGACTATAGTGTTACTGATAAGAGAATGAATTAACAAAATACCACTGAATACGCCACACAAGGTGGCGAAATGCATTGGTTGTTTAGTCTCATTTTAACTCAATGCTAAAATAACTTATAGTTTTTCTTTATAGGCCTATAGTTTTTCTGCCCGTGCTTAAAACGGGGCAAGAACACTTAAGGGAATAATGTGGGTCTTAAAGTTTGCTTTAAAAAAAGTTACACACACATACCATTCTAATTATACGGGCAAATATCAATTATATTTTATAGCTTATTTTAATGAAAATCTGTTACGTATTTGCATTAAACTGAGTTTTTTTAGGGAGAGGTGGGTAAATGCTGTTACGCACCCTGTAGTGTGAGACTCCTGAATTTATCAGACTACTCACTAAAAAACCCCCCTTCTGTTGGACACAGACCTGGAATTGTTTGTTACATTACTTCAAGTCAGGCCAACATGTGACCTAAGCCCTCAGGGCTCTCACCGTTTCTGGCATTTAGATTCTTTATGACATACACCGTATCCCGGTCAAGGTCAAGCTTATTGGCACGGAGAATACACTGGATGTAATGTGACACACAGGTCCAATCGTCCTCACCCTCCATCATCATCGGTATGACCGTGTCCACCGAAAGCAGTCATACTAATTAACTGTTGAACCTCTAGGCGGGGCCTTTCCCAACGCTGGCAGTGGTAAAAGGTATGGTCTACGTCATCGGGGATGCCTGGGCAGTATATGCAATCGGGGGACATTGCTTCGCCCATCCTGAACAGGTACGAGTGGAAAAATCCGTGACCCGTCAAACATTGGGTGAGGTAGAAATCCACCTCCCCGCACCGCCGCGTGCCGGTTAACCCAAGGTTGGACTTGTCCAGCGTCCCCGTATCTCCTGTTCCCAGCTCTCCTGTCACAGCTGGTAGGTGCGGGTGCGTTCCTCTGTTCGTGCCTGGTCCTCCCCGCTGATTAATTGCCTTTCTCTGCACCGCCAAAAGTTTTACGGGGATGACTCCAGCAACCACCAGGACGGCGGGTTTGGACCAGTTGGACACTGTTCGGTAGGCGGGTGCTACTCTTAGTGCTGCCTGAGGGTATCCGCATTGTAGTAGAGGTAGAGGTCGGTCACGGTACCTCTATATAACACAAATACATTGTTTGATATGGGCCCGCGCACCTCGCCCTCCGTAGTAGTTTTTTTTTTTTTTTTTTTTTTTTAGGGAGAGGTGGGAAAATGCATTTATGCACACAGGTTGCTAGCCTGTAGTGTGGGACTCCAACGGGCTTAAGGCCCAGAGACTACCCACTAAAAACCTCCTCTACTCTTCGGACACTAGCCTGGGAACACTTGTCGCACTTCATCAGAACTAGGCCGAGTTTGCCTACGCCCGAGGGGCTTACGCCGTGTCTAGCCGTTTATTTCTTATCAAATCTAGACTATGTTCCGATCTAGATCATTCTTTTTAGCTTGAAGGACATTCCGGACAAAGTGCGACCAGCAGTCCCAGTTGTCCTCACCCTTCAGCAAGGTCTCACAGATCGATTCAATCGACAGCACCCCAAGATGTTGAATGGCCTCCTGGCGAAGCATATCCCATTGTGGACAGCGGAAAAAAGTGTGTTCCGCGTCGTCGGGAATGCATGGGCAGTAAATGCAGTCAGGTGAATTCGTTTTGGCCATCAAGTGCAGGTACGACTGAAAATAGCCGTGACCTGACAAGAACTGCGTGAGGTAATAGTCAACCTCACCGTGCCGCCGTTCTACCCACGGTTGGACCTGCCTGATGAGTCTGGCAGTCCAACGTCCTCGAGTCTCCCTTTCCCAGCTTTCTTGCCACATCTGAAAAGTGCGGGAGCGCTCTTCTGTTCTTGCAGCGTCCTTTCCGATGTAGCCTTGTCTCTGGTAGATTGCCTTCCTCTCCGCTGCCAAGAGTTTGACTGGGATAACTCCAGCGATCACCAAAACGGCCGGTTCGGACACCGTACGGTACGCGGAAGCGACCCTGAGTGCCGCCTGACGCTGCACTCGTGCGAGCCTCAACCTATACGCCTCCTTGTTAAGCGCGTCTGCCCACACCTCAGAGCCGTAGAGAAGCACGGACTGGACTGCAGACATCAGTAGTCTTCTACGGCTGGACCGGGGACCACCGACATTGGCCATAAGCCTACTAAGAGCAGCGACACTCCTAGCAGCCTTGTCCGCCGTACGGAAGATCTGGTCCCTCCAGCTCAACTTGTTGTCCACCATGACACCAAGGTACTTGGCGGTTCGCGTGGTTTTGGACAACTACGTTCCCAACTCGTAGCGGAACGATGGTTTCAATCCGTTTTTTCGTGAGGATGACGATCTCTGTCTTGCTCAGAGCGAGTGTCAGACCATGATCAGTCATCCAGGCGTTTACAACGCGCATGACTTGGTTCAGTTTCAGTTGGGCTAGCTCAACGTTGCGTGCAGCAATGAGGGCTGCAACGTCATCGGCGTACCCAACTAAAACGGTCTCCTCTGGCATCTCAGATCTCAGAAGGCTGTCGTAGGCAGCGTTCCACAAATCTGGGCCGAGTATCGAACCTTGCGCGGCACCGGAAGTAACATCCATCGTCCGCGAACCATCTTTAGTTTCGTAATTAAGAGTTCTGCAGCGCAGGTAGTCCTCGATCAGCCTCAACAGATATGCTGGTACGCGGAAGCTGTTCCTCAACGCGCTCAACATATCGACCCATCTCGCCGAGTTAAAAGCATTCTTGACATCTAGCGTAACAAGAAGCACGATACGGCGAGAGTAATGATTGAAGCTCTCGGCACGCTCTACCGCTCTGTGTACCTCGGATATCGCGTCGATTGTTGACCGACCCTTTCTGAAGCCGTACTGACGAGGAGACAAATCTCCGGCAGCTTCCACGGCAGACGTCAGGCGGCAGCGGATCAGTTTCTCGAAAAGTTTTCCGGCCACATCCAACATACAGAGGGGTCTGTAAGACGACGGCGTATTCGGGTCACCTTTCCCCTTGCTGATTAGCACAAGCCTAGCCCTTTTCCAAGGAGTTGGGAAAACCCCTTCGCACAGGCATGTGTTGTACATTCTCAGCAGTAAGCGGGGGTTAACCGAGAATACCTTCTTGAGAGCCTCACTGGGAATACCATCAGGACCAGGTGCCTTTCTATTTTTCAGGGAGAGGACGGATGATTCCAGCTCTTTAATGCTAAAGAGTGGAATGTCCCCTACCTCGCCATAGTCGAAAAAAGGCCGCCGAGGATGAGACGGAAAGAGGGCGGTGACGATCCTGTCCATGGTGGTGCCCTCCATGATGGAAGGTGGTGATCGGGCGCCGAGTTTCTGGGTTACAACCTTGTAGCCCAGTCCCCAAGGATCAGAGTCAACATCCTCCTGAAGCCTCCTCCAACAGCTAACCTTGCTCCTGATGATAGCCCGACGAAGAGCTTTCTTCGCAGCCCTATAAGCCGCTGACTTAGCCTCGAAATCCGGGAATCTTCTGGCCCTCATAGCGGCACGTCTGGCTTTCAGACAAGCTTTCCGAAGGTTCGAGATCTCTAAAGTCCACCAGTACACAGCTTGCTTATCGCGACGGCGTCCCCTGTGTGGCATGGCCTGGTCACAAGCCGAGACAATCAGTTCCATCGTGGACGTTACCAATGCCTCGGCGTCAACAGGTGCAGCAGAATTCAGCAGCGCTCCCCGTGAGATTACGTCAGTGAACTTCTCAACATCCAGCTTGTCCGTATTCCATCGGCGTGGTCCAGATCGTGATACAGGCGCCTGATTATGGTGTTCATCCAGTATATCAAAAACGATGTACTGATGATCACTTGCCGTGAGGTCTTCGATGACTCTCCAGTTGGAGATCCGTGCTAGTAGTGATTCCGACGAGAAGGAGATATCGGGGATCGTACCTCTCATGCCGGGGTGCCGGAAAGTAGGCGTGTCGCCCTCGTTTAAGACGACAAGTCCGGCCCTGGCGGCAAAGTCCAGGATGTATTTCCCCCGGGAGTTTGTAGAGGTCATACCCCACTCCACAGCCCTCGCATTAAAATCACCAGCAACAACGACATGCCCAACGGTACCCCGTACACTGTCTTCTAAGCGGTCAATCTTCAGACGGAATTCCCGAATTGGCTCGTTGGGGGTAAGGTAGACACTAAAAAACGTGACGTCCCTACACCTGACCCAAACGAAGCCTCGGCCGCGTCCGTGATCTCGCACTGGTGCTTCCGTGCTGTTTCGAACCCAACAAGCGGCAGTACCAAGAGAATCTGGGAACCAGAAGTGTGGGTCCCTGTCACGGTACTGCTCGCTGATCAGAAGGGTGTCCGCACCGATCTCTTGGGCCAGCTGATCTAAGAGGGAGTCAGCCGTTCTGGACCTCTCAAGGTTACCCTGGAGAATCCTCACTTCCTAGACCTAGCCTTCTCAAGGTCGAGTGCAGCCTTGAAAACACTGCATCGCCCAGCCCCTGGGATGTGACCTAATGAGGCGTCCTTTTGGCCTTTCTCTGCGCAGAGAAAACAACGCTCTGCTGCGGTACAGTTCTTCCTGTTGTGGCCCGAGCCGCCACACCTGAAACAATTCTTGGATAGGTCGGGTCCCTTACAGTTTCGGGAAGAGTGACCAAACCCGAGGCAGCGAAAGCATCGCGGTACAACCACCCTCCGTCTGAGCCTGCAATTGACCCATCCAATTCTCAGGTGTGTGAGATTAAGCAGCTTGCTGGCATCTTGGTTTCGCATTTCAGCGATAGCTATGCGTTGCTCGCTGCGGTTGGGCCGCGTAAGCCATACTTTAAGGGAGTCGGCATTTTGGATATCAGGGATGGCCTTGTTGATAGCCTTCCTGACTTCAGCCTCAGTCGAAAGACCGTCAAGGTCCCGGATCTCCACCGAGGTCCTAGGCTCGAGTTCCCGAACGGTACCGTGGTCCCCCAGAGCCTCTCTGACCTTTGCAGCAAAAGCCACTCGGTCACCAGATTTCCCCAGCTCGAGGAGAACTTTCCCATTCTGGGTACACCTGATTGACTTAACAATCGTATCCGTCTCCTCTGGCTTGGCCTTAGACTTGAGTCGACCCAAGACTTCAGCAAAAGATCGCCCCCCTAAGGGGTTGATCAGGATTGCCTCAGCCCTGGGCTTTCTCGGCCTGGGTTTCTTTGAAACAGGGGGGGCCTTTCCACGAACCTCCCTCGCCGGAGCAGGGTCAGCAACCTTTCGATCTCTTGCTGCAGGTTCTTTGTTAGAGACAGCCTCCATTCGTCTCAATTTCCTCTTTTCTTTGCGGGAAAGCCTCCTCTCCCAGTTACCCACATTTGATGGTGCCACAGCAGAGTTCATAGAGCTGATTCCGTTAACCGTTGGTAGAGAGGCAAGCTCCCTGGTTTGTTGAGGGCGCTTCTTTAGAGCTGGAGTGTGCTCAGTAGGGGGTGTCATCTGGGTGGCCCTGTCCTCGACCTTCTGCTCGACATCTGACAGAGGCTGATTGGCCAATTCAGAAAGATCGGGGCTATCCGCTGGTGAGCTCCTTGCCCGTTTCCTTTGATTCCCGCCCTTGTCGTTCAGTTTAGGGGCTAAAACTTGGTTCACAAGCTCCCGTTCATTAACTAAAGCCTGTCTCATCAAGCCTTTAATTTCGAGAACTCGGGCAACCCGATCCTTCACCTTTGGGAGACCGTCCTTGATTGACCGGTTTACGTTGGTCCGGAGCTTCAAGGTTCCCTCCATATTGTTGATGAGGTCCATCATCTCTACCAGGAGGTCAGACTCCTCCTCATCAGCATCGTCATATTGTTGACGGAAACGCTGAAGTTCGGGATCCGACATCTGGGGGCTGATTTTCGGCGCTGTACTTTCCAGGAGGGTTCCCGTCAACGCCGGTTCAACGTCTACTTTTCCTTCTCCACTTGTCAAAGGAGATCTTAGTGGGGGGAGCTCATTTGAGCCCTTAAAGGTTGCAGGCGGTGGAGTTGCCTTAACGTTGTTCGCTGGTGGCGAACTCTTGACCTTGGAGCTACGCCCAAAAGGGCTCCACTCCTTTTCCGACTTCGATTTTTGCTCATTTGAGCTGCTGTTAAATAATGTGTTGGGTGGGGGGTTTTGACAAGCCATACATGTGTTTACCAGCGCATCGTGCGGCAAGAGACGGCCCGGATTTAGTCAGGAGCGGGTATACCCTCGGGGACAATCCCCTACCCCAGTTCCCCGGGGCCCGACCTCCGTTTGCCCAGCACCGGATACCTGACGTGCCGGGGGTCGCCTGTTGCAATGCAGAGCCCGACCTCTGCATCCATGCCGCACTTCCTGACCAAGGACCGAAGTGGCTGGCTCCTCACGACACACTGGGAATACCCATCGGCAGTGCAGAGCACACATCAACCCCTGCAACACAACAGGGGCACTCCCAGGGACTCCCAGTGAGGACGTCAGTCACCCTTTTAGTCGCCTCTTACGACAAGCCCGGGAGGGCTGCGATCCTATTCTAACCCCGAAACCGCAGGGGGGTATAATATAAACCGAAACCGTAGTAGTATAATATAATACATAATTAATGAATAAAATTATTTTATTGAGCGGAGCGAAGCGAAGCTCTTTGGGATCGGCTTCAATGCTGCAAACTTTCTAACACTATCCATCACTCAATAAAGTTTGAACATATTTTAGCCAAACTTACCAAGGTTGATTTCGACAGTTGTTTGGAAGGTTAAAGAAGAAACCATTTCTATTGACTATAATAATGGTACTATACCTCGTCAAGTTAATCCAAATGTTGTTTGAGGTTAACAACCTACATGTTTTGCCGTGAATACGGCATCGTCAGGGTTACAAAAACGAAGACTATTTACGGCGAAACATGTAGGTTGTTAACCTCAAACAACATTTGGATTACTTGACAAGGTATAGTACCATTATTATAGTCATATCAAGTAATCCAGGGGCCATCAACATGGAATTTAACCATTTCTATTTTTGATAATGCCTAAATAATTTAAAAGTTTTTTTTTATGTTTACATTGGCCTTATGGGTTGTCATAATGACTACAAAATACCCGCCGCCACAGCCAACCTGCAGACTAAACGAATTTCAATTTTTGCCTGATTGGATTCACACTGAAATGTCTCCTAATATCAATAAAATATCACATTTATTCCCTATTTAAACAGAGTTTAACGAGTACTTAGGTGTGCTGCAACAAGGAGGGTAAAAAATGTTTTTGGAAATTTCCCTATAAGGCTATTACCGTATAAGCTATTACCGTAGGTGGCACGGTAAGACCTAGGCCCGGGGCAAATTTACTTTTTCATTTTGATATCCCAAGAGGCAAAAAACACCAATCGTTCAAATTATATATATATATATCTATATATATCGCAATTTATTCTTTTATCGTTGTAAGGTTTCATCCTTGATAACTTTTCCCTTTCCCTCTCCCCCTCTTCAAACTACAAATTCTTCTTACCCTTGTGACATTGTCTGATTGTCATAATTTTTTTGTGTTTTCCTTAGAGATATGAATAATCTAGTACTAGTAGACCTTTTAGGTTATAATCAACTAATGATTAAAGGCTAAAAATTGGTCACAGCTTAATCCTAATTTTTTGTTAAACACATCTAGTAGTATGGCCAAAACTAAAGAATCATATTTGTCAGGTAAGTTTCAGTGGTTGCTTTAAGTGTTACAATGGTGTTACGTTCTACAATGCTTAGACCCTAGTCCCAGCCAAGGTCCTTCATGAACTTACAACAAACTGGACTAATCCGCCTGAATACTTAGCAGAATTCGTTGTGGTTTATGCGATTGCACAGTGGTTTATTTTATTTTATTTAAGAAAAAGAGTTCAAGTAACTTAGGCTATATAGTGTGTCATAGGCTACATCAACACCCCATTGAAGTGTTTGGCTTTAGTTCTGGTCATTCATTATCTTTTTAGACATTTACCAGAACAGCCCTAATAAACCTTTTAATTTTTTCTCGACCTAACTTAAAGTTAATCTTATTCCTGTTGTAAGTAATTATAATTAATCAAAACTTTGGCTGTAAGTAGACCTATACTGTCATAGCCTATAGCCTATGCCACCTATAGCCTAGGCTATTAGCCTACTCATGTTTTATAAATCAAAGAAAATAAACTAAATTAGTCTCCTCCTAATTTTTTGGTTCAAGAGGTTTTCAGTCTCTTATAACCTTAAATTTGCCCGGTTAGGCTTAATAAGCCACGGGCCTGTGCGTGAAAGCAAAGCAGGGCGGGTGAGCCGGTAACTTAAACTGTAGGTAGGCCTAAAAGACTGACAAATTTAGTGGCATTCTTACGCCTAGCAGATTCCGATCATGACATCGCTGCTATGGATTGAAAGTCTGCCACGCTAATATCTACTGAATTTCTGTCCCATGTTAGGCCTACTTTAGTTAGTTCCTTGAATCACCAAGAAGACCACAACTTAATTTACTGTTGTGTACCAATAAACTAAAAGATATTAGAATAATCTAACTTAGCCGTTGTAATGCCTTTAGAATTTAAGTTGAAACCTGAATAAATTTAAGTTATTTGAATACTCCCCCAGCAACTTGGACAATGATGAGCAAAAACAAAGGTGTTTCAAGGAGCGCTAACTTATTAACCCTTAGATAAGTTAAGTCTAAACTTAAAAATACAAATTTGATAAAAAATGTTTGTTAGCCTAGGACCGGATATTTCAGGTAGGCCTATTTTAAGCTGCCGCCTATAAAACGGGTTTGTGAGCTCGGAATGAGTAAGGCGCGCGCCTAATTTGGGGAGGGATAATCTTGTGCCTAAATATTGTTGGTATGGGAGTCTAGTAGACTTAGGCGCCAGCCTGAGAGATAATCTCGGTGGGTTTGGTTCGGGACTAAGAAATATATTTTCTTCATAAAAATTAGTGAGTTTAGGCTGCAACTTTAGTCCTGCCAGGGGGCAGGTTTAGGTGGACATCATCTCGGTATTAGGCCTACCTCATTAGCATGTTTATTGTTTAAAACATATTAACTAAAAGAATGTTATATTGGTACCAGTATTCGTTATTAAATTCCGAAGAATTTCATTAGGGGCCTACTCTCAAAGTTTTTTTTGAGGTTTACGATGTTCAAAATAAAACAAAGATCGCCTAGTACCGGTAAGCTAAATTTAAGCTAGAAGTTTATATCCAAAATCTATTTTGTTTTTGTTTTTTTAATGTTTGCTGCAATACAAATATGGGCTTTAACTGGAATTTTTCAAGCTGACAGTTTGGTTAAATAAACATCCATACCTTAATTATAAATATTTTACTAGCTACGAAAAAATGAGCCAATGAATAGGCCTACATACCCCCACATCCACCCCTCCTCTCTATGAAAGAGTGAAGGGGTTAGTTAGTACCTAATAAAAACATTAAAAAAAAACTGCACAGAAGCTATTAGGTAGGCCCTACACAGTCATTATGGATCGTTTTCTTCGTTTCAGTTTTACTCTAGTTGCTTTGTGAATAGCTGAGTGTATTGTGGTGGCTAGTAACATCAACATGGAGCACCTCAATTATTTGGAGTAGGTAGGCTACAAGAAAAAAAAATATATATATATAAAATATAGATAAAAAATGAGTTTGATACTGCGACTGTTATGGAATCTAAATTATTCATTTTTTAACTCCCACCTCAGAACTTTGAAAGCCCAGGGGCAGAGACAATATCGAAGCGGGAATAGTTCCATATTATATATTATTGTAGCTGTAGCTTTATTATTGTCCAATTTGAGCCCAGTCGGTTCAGAAGTTTTTGTGTTTTAAGCTCGTGCAAACACACAGACAGACACCGCCTCTTCTTTATAATAGTATACGGTTCTTCAGTCATCAAGATGTAAAACCAGTGTTATATAGTCAATGGTAAAACACACTACATTTTTACATGGTACAATGCAGAAACTTACTCCATATAATAGGCTAAGCTACTAATTAGCCATCATTGATATACCAAGATAGAATTGTGTAATCATCATCAATAATTGTTCATCTTTTGTTGTTGTCGACGGTACTGCAGTGTTGCGAGCCCCAAACCCTAAATTCCCCGCAATTCCCTGACCATCTAGCCGAGCTGCGACTTAATCCCTTATACTTGCTCTACGGCCATTAACTTAGACGTGAGCTCCCAAGCCTGGTTTTTGATCTGCGTACTAAAGTTAGGCGCGTCTAACACTGGGCGCGTACTAGCTGGACTCGAGCTCCTAAACTGCCCCTTATAGTTATACAATGGTTATACCTTTAAACTAAATTCGCCAATAGTACAGCTTAGTTTTCTCATAAATTTATTGAACATGTTCGATAAGCTATCCTAAATGTAGGATTAAGTAACATAAAAACCTAAATTTTGTGGCATAATGTTCTCTGATATATTTAAAAACATTTCGTCTTGATCTTACAAAGATAAATAGATAGAACAAATTGTTTTGACAGGAGCAATCATTCAAACATGACATCTGATTAGCTGTCGTGATTTTATCTCTTTCTCGATCAAAATGTGTTGGGAATCGGGAGAGTAGCAGGTTTCCTTTAATTATTTTTTAATGAAAACTATCACTTTTACTTTAGGTTGGCTAGTGGTATCAGCTAGAACTAATGATAAAGGTTAAGAAAAGGAAATTTGCAATGTTTTGTATGAAATTACGGGCATCATTAGTTACTTTTATACATCGATGGTACGGGGTTTATTTGGTCTATCTGCTGTAGGCCTACCCATGCTTTGCAACTAGGAGAACAAAAAAATAAAGTGCTGCACTCTCTTGTTAAACCTTGTAACTTTTTAATGCTATTGAACATCATAGAAGCCAACTTATAGTATTAATTTATTATTTGAAACCGCTGTCAAAATTCAATTCCAGAGCCACTGGGGCAGAACTACAAGGAAGTTCAAGAACGGGTATGGGACAGAAACCTTCTCGGGAGTGTAAGGAACATCTTCTCAAAGTTTCATCAAAGTTTCACAAGCAGTTTGTTCTTACAGAGTATTTCATCAAAATTTCAAATGCTTTACTTGTCCAACATTCAATCTGGTCAGAAATTTATTTTTTTTTTATAGGATATTTGGCTAATCTCAGTAAATGTTTATTTACAAGCTGTTTTCATTATCTTCAACTTAGGCCTAATTGGTTTTCTAGCAAATGTAAGTTAGGAATAGGATACCTAACATAATTCAAACTATATTTTAAAAATGTTTCCAAAAACCAAACAATTGAATCTAACTTAAGTTGCTTTGATATAGGCTTACTTAATGTGATACAAAAGTTTTTTCAATTCCAGAATAACTTAAGTATTTGTTTTCTTTATCTTTCATATTCTGTTAAACCTTTGAACTCTATTCTTACTTGTTAACTTATTGATAAGGCACCAAATGCAACACAATGAAGTTTTTCATCACTAAATGGACTAAGCTTGTCATTTTTTATATCACAGCAAGGTTTTGAATCGACTTGACAAAGTGTACTTTCAAATGTTACTTTTGAAGATTTTATAATCTCAAGCTCTTTTATATAGAATCTAGTCCAGCTAGGTTAGATCTCCAGGACCATTAAAACTTAATTTAAAAGCAGCAAAGTAAGTTAATATATTTCATGTAATTTTTGTTTGTTTGTTATAAGTTAGCATTTCACTTCACAATACAATTTCAATACTTTTACCATGTGAAATCAAATTAATAAGTTAGGTCTGCATTTAGGACATGATGCACTGTTTTTATTTATTTTTTTTTACTGTCAGTGATTTTATTTTAAAAAGGCCCTTTTCGGTACCCCATCCAATAGGTGTTTATTGGAGTTATCCAGTATGTCCATCAGATATTAGGGGGTTTACTGTAAATTAGATCAATGTTCAGATCTAGTCTCAAAGTTTGTTTTGATGCCAAAATGCTTAATAACTCAAATTTGAGTGCCCAGGTTTATATATCTGTTTGATGGTTAGTACAAAGCCTAATTTAAACTAAATATGTTGACACTCAAATAAGGTCCAAGGAACACTGGATATTCTTTATTATCTGAAATATCAGTAACTACAGTTTTTGGTATAGTTCCATAGAAAACCTGTGATTTAATATCTTATGAAATATGTTAATTCCGTATAAATTGTATTGTGTCCAAGTTTCATGATGTGAATATTGGGTTAACCTATGTATTGAATATGAATGCATTGGGTTTTTTTCCAGGAGACTCTTACACCGTGCTGCGAGGGTTAAGTTATGGTAGTTTATAAGTTTAATTTAGTTGATGATCATAATATTGTCTAAAAACAAGGTACGCCTAAGTCAGGGGTCTAACTTAGCATTTATGAAAACAAAATACATTAACTAGGTTATTTTTTTAAAGAGACATAAACTTTTTTAAATGACAAAGTTCAGAAAAATGTAAATTTTGTAAGTAATGCACCACCTTGTTTGTCATTATCAGAAACTGAACTGAACACACCATGCAAAAGAGTGGTAGGTAGCCCTCTTCTTGTAAAGATCTAGAACAGAAAATCAATATTTAACTTGTATTATAATAATGTAATATTTTAATAAATATCTGTAGTAAACATAAATTCATCTTAATCTCTAAATATCTCTGTACTCTGCACAACTATACCAAGAGGCCTTCTCAGGCATATCAATTTATTATTCTCCATTAAAAACCAACAACAAGTTACAGTGCCTCTTCCTTGCTCAAAACATTGGAAAAAATCAATTTGTTTGAAAAAGCATTCAACTGATTTGAAGTACGTTTAGACCAACCCATACTCTTCAAATCAAATGAAGAACTTCTTCAATGATCTAACTCTAACTTTTTTCAGATGACTCCAGTGACGATGATGATTCCGAAGACTTTCAGGGTGGTTTTTCTTTAGACGCAAACAACCGAACTAGTTTTAGCGATTACGAGACAAACAGGGCCAGTTTTAGTCTCAGTGATTTTGAAAGTAACCGGTTGAGCTTGAGTGAACATGAAAATCCTCTCAGTGACTCAGAAAGTAACAAGGATTTCTCGGAACACAATGACAACAATCAAGTTCAGTCTGAATCCAACAGGTAGTTTTAGAGTTTAAATAATCAAGAATCATTTCTATTTATTTTACCTTGTATGCCTACTTAAAAAAAAGATAGTGGTCACACTCTCATTCAAGCAAAAATTATTCCTAACTGTGATTTTAATGCTTCAATAATACAGTTATTGACAATTAACATTGAAGTAGGTAGTGCATGCACTTATAATAATTATTACTTCAGTGGGTTTCTTGATGAGTGTCTCTTTTCACTTCATGTTCAAACTATTAAGACATGACTGCCTAAGTATACATCCATGTCTATTTCTTTGAGTATGGAATATTTTCCTGTAGTGTGTAATTCCTTGACTGTTTTTATTGTTACATTTCTTTTTGATCTTAAAGAAAAAAACATGATAGATATGATATTGTATTAGTTATTCTTTTTAAACTTCCATTTCAAGACATTCACTTAAAAATTGTTCATCGGTATTGCCTTTGGCCTACGTTAATAGTTTTAGTTTGCCAACAACCGTGTTGACTTTAAGGCTTCTTCTCTTGATAACTCAACATGAAAACACATTATATTGACATGAGATTGTTTCACCACATAGGCTACATAAATTTGGAATCGTCTCAAAAATGACCCATAACACTGTTCTTAATTCATAAAGCATACAACTCCAAAAATGTAAAATTCCCACTTTTGTAAAAAACTGTTCAAACTTACAAAACTATCCATAATATTTTTGCAGTGAAGAAGAAAGCAAGCCGTATTACCAACCCAGCGCACCACCAGATTATCCTACAGAAAAAGTCACATTTTACAAATACGGAGAGCCGACAAAGGTCATTCACAAAGCGACGTCAAAGCACAAACATGGCTCTAAAAGATCTTCAGACAGCAACCACCATGAGAAAAACCATGAAAGCAAGAGGTCAAAGTTTGATGACCTGGCTAAACCAGTCCAAGTGCAAAGCCAGGGTTATGACAAAGCAAAAGCCATGATGGTATGTATTTTTTTATAATATATCTTACAATTAAAATATTAAATGTACAGTATCTGGTACAGTACTTAAGCTCTTGAATTTCTGCTGGGTTGAATATGGCACAGAGAGAGAGAAGAAACTTACAGAAGAGACATACAATGGTACACTTAAGTTTTATCTAGCCCTATTGCTGGTGTCTAGGGCAAAGTTCACACCACCCCCTCACCATTACTACAACGCAGAATGGTACACTTAAGTGGTATCCAGACCTAGTGCTGGTGTCTAGGGTAAAGTTCGCACCACCTCCCTCACCATTATGTACTACAACGCTGGAAGAAGAGGGTGTGCAATAGGAATTTCTGCACAGAGCTAAATACTAGAGCTGAAAGCGCACGGACGAAGCCTGGTTCGTTTCCTCTGTACCTTCTCTGTGAGTTTGGCTAAACCTGTTGTTATTTGCTTGTTTACAAAGGCCTATGTATTTCAAAATAGAGCTGATGCTTTTTTGAAACAGCTTCAATTTTTTATTGTTGACAATAACGACAGTTATAATTTACTAATTAAGTTTCAGTAATTTATTCAGATCATTATGTTTTTCTATAGCTATATAGTCTATTATTAATTGTGGCCCTTGGTTTTGTTAACGGTTTTTAGGCCTAAAATATAGTTAAACTTATAAAATCCAGACTTGCCCAATCCAAACAGTTCTGCAGGATAAAATAATTAAAAACTAGTCAGGTAGCGCCTGTAGTGTAAACAAAATTTCCAATCCTAGTGCAATTTTAGGGATCTAGAAAAGATGTTCTTACCTGTATCAAAGTTATAGGTAAGGCCTACAACAACTTTGCTTGATAAGCATCCTCTAAAGTCAATAGAATCTCTGAGTATACTTCTTTAACTGGGCAGTGTTTAACACATGTTGTCTTGTTGAGCACAGGAGAAGATGGGGTACAAGGAGGGCAGAGGACTGGGTAAGCATGCTCAAGGACGAGTAGATCCAGTAGAGTTGTCTAGACAACGTGGTCGGCGAGGTCTTGGCCTCACGCTGCCTGGCCTGGAGCCTGCCAACCTGGACTGGGACTCATCTATGGAGGTAACTTGTCACTAGATATGTAGGATGGGTCACTTTGGGTATGAAAGATAGGCTGAAGTATCCCCTAAAGAGTAAAGACTAAAACATTTTAGTATGCTTTTTCCAATAGGCCTTTATTACTGGAAAATCGTGGTTGTAAACCTGGTTAATAACAGAGTGATTATAAAATGAATAAACAACTTTGTAAACCAAATTGTACAGCTATGTCTTTATTACAAGCAAAATGCAACTTAGATTTCCAAAAAGTAAGTTACATATTTTTTAAGTTTTGTTTCATGCAGGCCTAATACAAAGATTCACTTTGTGCACCTCGATTTGTATAGTATAAGTCAATCTTATATTTGAGTACCAACCAAAGTCAAAAAAGTGAGCTGATCAATATTCTCTAATAGTTTAAAAACTTTTTTTCTTAGCTGCAATAGATTTGATGGGACAGGGAGTTCAAATACTTTGTCTTTCACTTAGGCCTACCCTTAGAGCCATCGCGTACTAGCCCGACCACGACTCTGACCGGTGGGATACAGCCAGTTTTACAATAGGAGTTATTGGAACAGCGCCCACTGGCCCAATGGTTGGACGACCAAACTCTGAGGACTTTGGTCGGGCCTGACTCACCAGCTGTTGCATCAAAAAATTGAACACATTGTAATGGCAGGACACACACTGCCTCCTAATTTTCTCCGACCTGACCAGTAGGCAGTCCTAGTTCAAGGGAACGGTTAGCACTTTTTTTTGTCTGGTGTGTGAAATATTTTCTTTTATAATGTATTAGATTTTGAGACTGAGGGTTTCATTATAGCTAGTGAATAAATGCATTATATTGTCAGAAGATTGTGCCAAAAGAGTGATTAAGAAGGCAGCTTGGAGAACAATTCGTTGTTGTGATCTGGTCGTGGTCGTGTTGTTCTCTGGCCACATAGGACCACACAATCCTCTAGTACTCCATGTGATATCTTACAAGATGGATTATTATTTAATTTATTTCGTCTGTACAATCATGTGACTACTATGCTGCATGTGCAGGTAGTCAAGGTGGAAGAGGAACCGTCATGGCTGGAGGGGAGGGACCTACCCCCTCTGTCAGCCTCCACCCTACACAGCTGGAAGGAGAACGGCCCTCGCAACCTTAACATTGAGGAGTTCACTGACTTCTGTGATCCTAACATTCTCACCAACATACTTAGTAAAAAGGTTGGCTAAATGTAATATTTTTAGGAAAGTCTTACATACAGGGTAGTGTCCATTGGTTACTTTACTAGCGTTAAAAAAGTCACTGAAAAGTTGAATCTAATATATAAAATTCTCGTGTCACAGTGTTTGTCTGCAAACTCCTCCGGAACGACTTCACCGATCGTTATGAAATTTGGTGTGTAAATTCTGTAGGTATGCGAATCGGACGTAAACTATTTCCCGTTTCGAAATTCTTAAAAGGGCTCCGCCCCAGTGGCTCTGGAGTTTCCCATGTTAACCTTATGAGAAATGGAATTAATGAATCTTAACAGCTGTTTCAATTAAACAAGTTGGTTCTGTTCTATGATGTTCAATAGCATTAAAGTTACAAGGATTACCAACAGGGTGCAGCACTATTATTTCTTTTACATTTATGACAACAGCTAATTTGCAACCAAAAGGTGAGTGAGCGTAGCGAACGAACTTCAACCTGGAGGCGAGTTAGCGTAGCGAACGAGCTAACCTGAAGGCAAGTGAGCGCAGCGAACGAGCTCCAACCTAAAGGTGAGTGAGCGTAGCGAACGAGCTCCAACCCAAAGGTGAGTGAGCGTAGCGAACGAACTTCAACCAGGACGTGATTGAGCGATGCGAACGAGATCATCTTGAAAATTAAACGTAACGGTACTTTCTTTCCATCGGTCTGTCTTAGGGGAAACCTATAACTTAGGCGATACGAAGTTCGCCAGGTCAGCTAGTTTTATTATAAAAAAAAAACTGATTGGCACCCTGTTTAATGTGAACTAAACAAAGGTAACAGTTAAAAGGCTTTGATGTTGAATTGTGTTAAAAATTGGAATACTTTAAGTTCTATACTAACTCAAAACAATTGTTTGTTGATATTGTTTAGAACTCTTAAAGTTTGCTTCAATGGGATGTCTGTTTTAATACATGTGTTGAAATAAGGTAGTTATATAGATGTAAGGCAATATATTTTAATCGTATTCATCACAGGGCTATGTCCATTTCCCATTTCATTTACATCATCAACGGCAAATAAATAATAATTTAATTTAACTTTCAAAATTCTAAAAATCAGTGTTATGTGACTTTTTGGCCTTTTCACAGATTTGGTTCTATTTATACTGGATAGGGGAAGTATAAGAATGTAATTCCTGATAATTTGGGATTTTCCTTTTATACACAGTTGTTACAGATAATTTTTTTGATAAAAGTAAACATCTTTACACAAATCTAGATTAATTGTGATCCTTAAAACCTTGCATTGTTGACCATGAGTTCGACAACTTTATGGCTACTACATAGAACAGTTTTAACTATCAGCATCGACTTTTGTTTACTATAATTGGTCTATATTGGGTTTTTTGACTTTTTTATGTGTCAGTTTTTTTTTTATTTTATTTTCAGAGTATATTTGACACTCTGGATGGGGAAGAGATGAGACGAGCAAGGACAAGAAGTAATCCGTTCGAGACAATCGGCAAAGGAATGTTTTTAAATAGAGCGGCCATGAAAATGGCAAATATGGACAAAGTGTTTGACTTCATGTTTACATCACCCAAGACACAAACTGGGGTGAGTTCAAAGTCACGTTTTTCTCCTATAGCCTACTAGAATTAAAAATATTTGTTGAAGCTATGATTCAATGCCTGAAATGTTTGTTCGGATTGGAAAACTAGGATTCGATACATTTGCGTGAAATAGAATGGGCTTTTAATATTCTCATGTCTATTACATCAAGATATAATAAACAAATAAACCTCAAATAACTAGTGAGTAGTTGATAACACATTATGGGTAAAATAATTTCTAGGTTCTAGTGGATTTGAAAATGAGACTTGTTAAATCAAGTGTGGCTTGTTATTGAGGGTCTTGTTATCGAGGTTCCTTAAGATGTATTTATTCTTGAGATTTTATCTAATTTCAGGCACCAATGGTGAAGGATGACGAACTGCTGTATTTTGCTGACGTTTGCGCCGGACCCGGTGGATTTTCAGAGTATGTCTTATGGCGGAAAAAATGGAAATCTAAAGGATTTGGATTTACATTAAAAGGAGAGAACGACTTCAAACTTTCAGACTTTTTCTCTGGGCCTTGTGAAAGTTTTGAGCCTTTTTACGGTTAGTAGGGTTTAACAAACATAGCACAATTTGTTATAAATCGTCTTTTAAAATTTTTTAAATTTTGTTTCCTTACTTGAATAACAGTTTTAACAGACTCCCTTATATATTGATTCGTCATCCAAGTGCATCTACTATTCGAAGACTATTTAAAGATGTCTGATCATCAAGTTATAAACTGCATGTTCATGTTTAATTTTTATCTATTTCCTTTCCTGGATGTCTAAGACCCATTATGTTTCCATTTTTACTTGAAGACTTACAGGATAAAGTACTTAAATGCTTTTATGGAAAACTGTTAGGTTACCAATTTGAACTATTTTAGCCAATTGCAATAATTGGATTGCAAACTATACATTGTATTCTGTGGTAATAATCAGAGATTAAAGACACTCTGTAAAATGCTGAAAACAAAAGAAAAATTAAACTTGACAAAGTATTACATGTTAAAAATATTCAAAACAAGCAACCCTGCCAAATTCCCAACTAAACTCTCTACCAACTCTGCCAAACTCCAACTAAACTATCAACCAACTCTCTCAAATTCCAACTAAACTCTCCACCAACTCTGCCAAACTCCAACTAAACTCTCCACCAACTCTGCCAAACTCCAACTAAACTCTCAACCAACTCTGCCAAACTCCAACTAAACTCTCAACCAACTCTCTCAAACTCCAACTAAACTCTCAACCAACTCTCTCAAACTCCAACTAAACTCTCAACCAACTCTCTCAAACTCCAACTAAACTCTCAACCAACTCTCTCAAATTCCAACTAAACTCTTCACCAACTCTGCCAAACTCCAACTAAACTCTCCACCAACTCTGCCAAACTCCAACTAAACTCTCAACCAACTCTCTCAAATTCCAACTAAACTCTCCGTCAACTCTGTCAAACTCCAACTAAACTCTCCACCAACTCTGCCAAACTCCAACTACCTATAAACTCTCCACCGTTCTGCCAAACATACTTGAAAGGCTTAATAATTTGAAAAAACCAACAGTATGTTTAGTGAAGTTTTACTTTTTCTTCCTTAAGGATCCAGTGTTGCTCTTTAATTTTAAAATGTCTCTTGTCTGCAGGAAAGAAGGATGATGGAAATATTTTTGACCCTGAGAACATTAACAGTTTGATGCATTATGTGATGGACCACACAAACCAGCTGGGTGTACATTTTATGATGGCAGATGGTGTAAGTTGTAGAATACTTATCATATTGTTAAATAACACATTGGGCACTAGAATAAAAATATATCAAACAGCAGGAGGAAATATTTGGAGACATATTTTTTATTGTTGTAAGAAGTAGGCTAATATGACTTTTTTCTGGAGTAGGTTTCCTGCTATCTACTAGTAACTGTATTCTGTATTTTTTGTGTCTCTGTTGCAGGGATTCTCCGTGGACGGACAAGAGAACATTCAGGAGTTGTTGTCCAAACAGTTGTACCTGTGTCAGTTCCTGGTCGCCCTGTGTATTGTCAGGACCGGCGGCCATTTTGTTTGCAAACTCTTTGACCTGTTCTCCCCCTTCAGCGTGGGTCTGGTGTACCTCATGTATCATGCCTTCGAGAGGATCAGCATCCACAAACCCAACACAAGCCGACCCGCCAACTCTGAGAGGTGAGGCTGGACATGAGTAAGCTACTTGCTTAGATGAGACCTCCAAGTCTCGGGTCAAAATTTGGTTGCTTTGCAAAGAATTTATTTAAAAAAATATTAATTGTTATGCTAGTAACGAGTAAAATGAAATTTTTAAAATACTGTAGGGCCTATACAACAATATTTTTGTGTATTGGGTAAATAACATATTTTTGCTAACTAGTGGTGATATTACCCAATGACCGCTGATATTATTGTTTGATTCATGTTCACTTGAAATGAGTTTTCTAGTTTTCTCCCTTATTTATGAATCAATGTTTTTACAATTGTTATTGTTGGAAGTTTAATAATATTTTCTAAATGGTTACCTACCAGAATAGTTTTGTTTACTGGTACCCATTAATTTTTAATGTTATTAAATTTAAAAAAATTTAAATGACGGTCATTTTGAAAGTAAATATTATTTAAAAAAAAAACTCTCAAAATAGGTCTTAGCATTATGTACCAACTCAGTTCAAAAGCCGTTAACAAATAAATATTTTTTGTGTTAAAGGCAAAATGATGGCTGAACGGGTAGTTTTTGAGTTTTTGACGTTTTTAACATTTTAGTTTGACTTGGGTCCTGGAATGATACCTTAAAAGGTCCCTTCAGAGTTTGAGGACACCCTGTAAAAGGTTAAGGTTAGATTATATTACATTATGTTTTTAACAACTCACTCACTCCCATGGCCATTTATTCCCAAGGCGGGATTTGGCCGCTTAACAACAGTGAATGTTTTTTGTACCCTATGTAGTTTGCATTTTCTGTCCAAGGTATATTATATGCCAGTGGAAGAGGGACGACTGTGAACCTACGAGAGAGTATTTGTTTGAACTCAACAAAGAACTTTGTCGGCTTGGCTGTGCAAGCAAAGAAGACATCAACTTTTGTGTGTCCATGGACGAACTAACACAAGACAACGCCTTCTTTGACTATATTGTCACATCAAACAATGTGTAAGTTTAAAAATCTTATGTCTGAAAGTGTAAAGATTTATTGTTTTTTTTATTACTTGTTTTCCTGTGGTATGTAAAAATTAAAATAACCTTTAAGTTGTCCAGGACATCCGACGTTTTTTTACCTAATAACTACTCATCAATAGTTTAGATTTCCTGGACATGAAATTGTATCTTTGTAAACAATTTTTTCTATCATCAAACTGAATCAATATTTTTACACATTTTGTTGGACAAATGTCGAAACGGTCAAATGGGCAAATGGTCTAAATAGATGTTCAAGTTAATTATGGTTTTTTTCTTGATTTACAAAGGTCAATATAAATATTCTTTAATCGTGTTCCTTGGTCATTCTGTTAACCAGTCTTACAAAATTATTTTTTGTTTCTCTCAAAGCAACAGAGTAGTTTTAGACTGATAAATTTGGTATTTTTTTGTTTGCTATGTATTCCTTGTAGTTTGTAGGTCTCTATCCTCTCATTTTATCAATTTGAACCAATTGAAAGTTTCAGTATAAATCTTGCAAATGTTTTTATTTGTTTACACCAAAATATATCTTTATTTGTAAAATCAATATTATAAAATAGGTAACATGCTTAACAATATGGTTCTGCAAGTAAAAATTTTAAAATTATGAAATAGGCAAGTAAAGCAGCTCACTGACATTTCCAGCAATACAGGTTCTTCTAATATATGATCGAAAATAAATATTTTTTCACCTAAAATTCATATCATATGTATGACTATTGACTAGGCCTAATACCACATCAACAAAAATTTGCATTACAGAAATTTTGTAAATTTGAATTAGGCTATTGTTACTTCACTCCATTGACAAGTATGAATAGAAAAATGCTGTATTGCTTTAAATCGAGTTGCGTCAATTTGAATCAAAAACCTTTTGAATTGAATCGTTGCTTCGAATCAAAAATTGTTTGCTGCTTCGCACATCCCTACTTAAATTAAGGGATTTATTTTGAAAATAAATTAGTAGTTGAGGCAAAAGATCTATCCTGATAAATAGATTATATTGAAATGTTTTACAGACTAGGAGAGAGACAGATCGTCAATCTGATAAAAATCGCAGCTTTCTGTAGAGACACATCCCTAGTTGAGACGAGACAAGCAGAAATCCGACGGGCTTGTCTGGCGTACTGGCAGATACCTGATGTTGCAAGGAGAGTTGACAAAACCACAGCTGAGGAAATGGTGAACCGCTGTGTCGGAGAGAGTAATCAACGTAAGTATGAGCTTGTTGGAGTTTGTAAAGAAAATGTACGAGTCTTAACGTTTATTTACAGTTTTTATAACACAATACATTTTCCCACATAAAATTAAGCCTAGGTTTTGATTTTTGTTAATCGAGTCTTTGATGGACACACACATGGTAATACACACAGTAATATACACAGTAACAAGTTGCAAAATACCAGTTCAGAGGTACAGTAAACCTTCAATAGTTCGACACGGGCTGAGGCTACCCGTCTAAACATTAGCGATCGATATTTTGTTTTCACACGTACACCGGTCAATGTCCAGGACCAGTTCTTTCCAGTTATCAGAGTGAAAAACAATCGAAGATCACAAAACAGTCTGTCAAGTGATATTTAATGGTTACTATTATTGTGATGTAAGTTGACTTGAATATTAATTCGTCTTTTATTGTTGACTTGAGACTAACAAATAGTGAAATTGTTAAAGCTTTTTAGTATTTAATAAATTTGGGTGATTTCTATATCAAACTTGTAATTTACTTTCCTGTATATTAAACCCCATTTACTCCCTATAGTTTGACATTTTGATAGTTCGATACCCCTTAGGTCCAGAAAGTGTCGAACTATCGAGGTTCTACTGTACAATCACTAAGAATACTCTCAAAATTAACTTACAATCAAGCTGTCTGCCCTTTATTACAATAAAGGTGCCCTTTATTACAATATGTACTATAATTACTATATGTGTATTATCAACACTTTAGTCCGAATTAATATCATTTTGAGTGCGATAGAGGAGAACCTATGATGGTCAATATAAATTGTGAGGGAACGGTCCCATCTTGTTTCGTCCTAATTTTCGGGTATCCTGCTTACCTCTACAAAATGAATGAACACTAATAAATTTTCTAATAGTGTATTTCCTCAAAACTAACTTTATTCTACTAATTTTTTATCTAATTTCTACTCAATTTTCTCTTTGTTGTTTTTGCAGAGTTTTTACAATCACAAGAAACGCCAATTAAGACTGAAGAGAGTTTGAGTGTATTTAAGTCCATCTACGACTGGCATTGTATACCAATTGCCTGTCCAAAAGAACTATACTTCTTTGTTGGTAGGTTTGTATATGTAATTTTAACTGTTTTAACATTGATCCTTTTGGGTTTCCAACCAGCAACTTTTGAATTTTAAAGGCAACACTAACCACTATGTTGTCTTCTGAATTGAATGATTAAAGAAAACACACTTCATAAAATTGGTGAGGTCACAATCATAAGTTTGAATTTTCTGTGGGGAATTACAAAAAACTTATTCTGAATCTTTTAAAAAAGGATGGAGAGGAACTGAAATTTGGGGGGGGGGTATTTTTATTGTCCTTTGAGTAAGATTACACTTGAGTTGGGGTTTTCTCAAGATTGTCCAAGCTGTTAGCGATTTACCTATAGCTGCCTGAGATTTTCACAATTTTGTTGGTATGGTAACAGTGATGATGTCTCCACGACCACAAGAAACTATCACAGTTTCGTCACTATTGTGTTGGCTCAAGCAAGATTAGTTATCTTTTAGGGACTTTCTTACTGTAGAAGAGGACCAGAATCCAGACCCCAATGAATTGTGAATACTTTATTACAATGTCAATTTAATTAGAAAATATCTGCAATAATCACTTGAATTACTCTTATAAGAATTTAAAATAGTTAAACAAAACGTTAGTGTTGCAACTGTGGCAGGCCTGGGTCGCAACAGAGTGTACAGGTCGACTGTTGGAGGCAAGTACTGGAAGAAGGTGGAGCAGTCTGGACTGGAGCTGAGTCCAGGAACACTGGTGCTAGGGGAGATGGTACAGGAGGTCCTGGGGGAGTCCAAGTCTCAGGTAGGCATTTCAAAGTCATTTGTTGTTGTCTAAGTTAAAATTTTGAAAAGAAAAATGTAAAGATAGAAGACTGAAACAGAGTCTTTGAAATCCGCTCTTAAACTGATGATAATATCTCTACAGTAGGCTCCCTCTTATCCAGACGCCTTTTAACCGCACATCGGTTTGAACGGACTACACTCGGTGGAAATGACATCTCTTTAACCGGACAATTTTTATCAGCACATTGGTTTAACCGGACTAGATCGGCAGGATGTGGGCAGTACTGAAACGTCTGTTCTCGTGGGAAAGATTTGAGACCAGTGATCACTTGTCTTAATACAATGCTATCCCAAATTTAAGTCGAATATCACAGTAAACAGTCCGTTTTAACGAGTTTTTGGGGACGTCTGTTTAACTGGAAAACCCGTTATCTGGACTGGCCACGGTTCCGAGGAGTCTGGATAAGAGAGTCTACTGTATTGATCACTTAAAGAAAACTTGTACCTGTTACATTTTATAATGTTTTTACTCAATTCGCTCTGGTAATTTTATGAATTTGGCAGAAATATTGTTGTTGATAAAATCATTTTCCATTCCAGGTGAAGAAAACAGCATTTCACATTGTGGACGCTGTCAGTCTTGGGGGAGAGGATGTCAGTCGAAAGCACTACACTGACAGGTAGTTTTGTACTGGCTATAGTCCTATTTAAGAGAAAGTCATTAGGTAAATTAAGAAGTTTCTTTCAAGAGATAAAGTCTGGCTGGTATATCTCATATCTGAGGAGATAACACAATTCACATGACATAGTATTGGTAGTTTAACCTAGTTTATGACTTCCTGAAATTACATTGATGAGATCCCATTCAATGTAGGGATGAATTTCAGATTTTTTTTTAAATTACCTTTAATTTGGGATTTTTTCAGGACGGGGTTTATTCTAATTTACTGTAATTTTGCGATGACTCCCCGAACTATTGTGGAAGACATTCATAATGTCTCTGTGATCAAGGGAGGGGTTCTAGATGTTGCCACTTTGGCGAGTTACAATGCTGGGAAATAATAACGACAATGTTACGATCAGAGATTACAGTCATTCTGACATATAAAAGTTACTATAAAGACTGGAAATTGGTTTTGCTTGTCATAATTGATATTTTAAAGAACATTTACAAGAGATTTGTAAAAAAATAACAGATTTTCTCCTCGGAAGATAAATCCCATCCAGTTCCTATTCCAAAAACCAAGAAGGAAATAAAAATTTGATCCTGTCCCCTATTAAACTAAAATGTCAAAATCTTTTTTTAACTAAATGTTTATGGTTCTATGCATTTTACGTACAACTTTTTGCGCTTTACAGAATCAAAATGTGTCATTTGTACTGTGAAGCCCTCAAGAAAGACACAAGAATGGACCTCTGCCGAATTAGAACCAAGATGGTCCACTACCTTGAAGACTTAAACCTTCTGTTCGAAGAGTAAGATGCAAAATATGTCGTAATAGTTCTTGCTTTTAGTTGTTACCAACATGAGTTTTCTCATTGAAGTGAGTAATTTGTTTTAATATGGCTTTTAAATATAACTTTATTTACATGGACTAATTTTCATTTTTTATGTGATTGGTTTTGTTTTAGTTTTTAATCTATAGAAATAAAATAGTAGACATAGCCTAAACAATTTAAATATGTGGATAACTAAGACTAGTGGAGAAATGTGAGAAGCAACCTTTTTAAAACATTTCTTTTTCTCCAAAGATTGATCATGAACCATTTACAGTTTAGCCTTCATAGTACGATACACTCGGTGCCTAATTACCGAAAACAAAAACGTTGGGTTTTCCAAAAAAAATTGAAGTTGATCAGGTTTTAATCATTCAAACTCTTACGTACTGCTGTAAAATGTAGCCATGAATTAAATTTATAGGCCTTCTACACAATTTGACTCACGGCTTAATATTTTTGGTGTATTATCAAGTGTCAGATTTTGGAGTGCCAACAGTGTTGTGAAATAGTTTTTGAGACAGTAAACCGCGAATTAGCTAAACTCTTCAGTGATATAGGTCATGCACCCAGGGAAGGACAGTGCTTAACACTCTTGACTAAATTAGACAAGAGGGAAACATTGTAGTAAGTTAAAAATTATGAGGATCAGAATAATTTTTAAAAACATATTTCAGCTTAACCGTATTCCTAATGAAGAATGGAACTCATGAACTTTTGCTTAAGACTGATGACTTTGCATACCAGCCTAAGGGTGTTATGTTCTACAGAGCTACAAAAGGTATGTGATCATATTAGATTTGGCTGGTAATAAGTGTTCAAGTAGCTCAATATCTAGCTGTGTTTAACCCTAAGAGTGGCGAATCAACAAAAAATGTCAATCTCAAATTGTGGCCTCGTTTTCTAATTACAGTGTCACATTATCAGAGGATTCATCGCCCCTCTTAGTAAAAAGCAAATGTCTTTGAATAAGGCTGTTTCCGACATTATTTGTAAGGACTGAATATTAAAAAAGTGTGTTCTTGTAGTCCCGTCCAAGCAACTCCCCCCACCCCTAAGGCTCCCCCACCCCTTAAAAAGATACCACTAAGGTATAGCCTGTAGTTGATAAAGACTCTTAATCTCACAGGTTTTTTTTATATTTTAAATTATTTAGTCCCAGCAATGCAACAAATTGTAGTTTCCATGAATTACTTGCACTTTTCATAACTCTGATAATATAAATGTTAACAAAGTTTATGTTTTAGATCCCTGGATGAGATGCCTTAGCAAGTCAACCCAACTCTGCTACTTCTACAAACCTGGGATAAAAACATCTCTTTATGACAAAGACCGACCCACAGAAGCCTGCACATCAGCCATGTAAGTGGACTAATAGTCTGTTGTCATTGAACAATTTTATAAACAATCAGTGTTATTTTTTTTATTAAATCTTGAATTGAAAAAAAAAATTAAATCTCAAACTGAATCAACTGGATTTGAGAATCAAATGTTTTTATGTAGTCCCCTTTAAGAATAGTTATAATGAATTTTAATTCTCTAATAAGATTTTTTTTATTGGTTAGGAAAATAATAAGTAGTGTATTTCATTACTAGTACCGAAATTTGCATTCTCCTTTATGTGTTCAAGTTTCTTGTGTGAAGCAAAGCCGAACTCAGGAAAACCAGGCTTCACATGTGAGGCGAAGCCAAGCCGAATATGGGAATAATTAAGGTGTAAAGATTTATGTTGAAATATATTTCTTTTATGCCACACTCCACTATTTTGAATAACTTCCCATGCAAGGATTTAGTCCAGAAAACAGCTGTTTGCCGCCAGCTTAATCAAATGGGGTTTCATTGCGTACTACTGTACTGTAATGAGTTTTACCGGACACCAATCAGCTGGTTATACTATATTTGGGTGGCAATGAGTGGTTATAAACAAAAACATAAACTCTCTTAGAGGTTATGACTAGTGATTTTTAATCCTTTAGTTGGGGGAAATAAGGATTTGTACGGATTTATTAGTATGGCGTAAACTATCGCCATACTACTAAACTACGCCATACTGACGCCATACTACGTCACTCGTCCAAAATGTGTTTACTGGACTCGTATGGTAATCCCGCCCCACACTAGTCCGGTAAACACTTATTTTCAGAACTAGTAACGTAATATACTATTAAAGCAATTTAACAGGGAGATAAAATGAGATAATTTGGCAATCACCCTGTACTTGTACTGATGGTAAATATTTGGTTGCAGGGAGTGCTATGAGAACAGAGTGGTGTGGTGGTGGGAGCAGGGGGTGGGTATGTATAGGGAAGCTCCAAGAGAAGGAGTCCTCCACAAAGACACCCTACAAAGCGTCATCCTGAAGAAGGCTGGCAGATAGCATAAAATAAAAGACTGTTTCATTGTACAATTTCTTATATAATGTGAATAAAGTTCATTCCATTTCATTAAACAGTGTGTGGTTTTTATATGTTTTTTGTAAGAACGACTAGATTTATTATACCGGGTGTTTCAAAATGACTCACCCGGTTTTAACACTTTATAACTTTTATACTATTAAACTTACCGCTATAAAATACACATCAAACGAAAAAGTAACTCAAAGAGTTTATGCCTACCAAAGACACATTATTTAATAAAATCGATCCAGCAGAACTGTAGATTTAATTTTACAAAGTTAAAAGTTATCTTCCAACTTTTTTTAGCACTAGAAATTTGGAGGTTACTTGACGTTTTTGCAAATAACTTTTAAATGGTGAGGAAATCGACCAAAGTGGAAGGTAATATTCCAAAAGAGAATAAAATTTCCTACAATCTACTATTATGCATTTTTTGAAAATACTCAAGAAAGGTACCGAAAATTGCTTAAAAATGAAAAAAAAAATTGAAAATCCCCGTCTTCAATGTAGACAATAGACATAGCAAACATTAAATTTCACACTTTTTTATTTTAAGGCAAATTTAGGCTACATTTATTGAGTATTTTCAAGAAATGCATAATGGTAGATTGTAGGAAATTTTATTCTCTTTCGGAATATTACCTTCCACTTTGGTCGATTTCCTCACCATTTAAAAGTTATTTGCAAAAACGTCAAGTAACCTCCAAATTTCTAGTGCTAAAAAAAGTTGGAGATAACTTTTTAACTTTGTACAATTAAATCTACAGTTCTGCTGGATCGATTTTATTAAATAATGTGTCTTTGGTAGGCATAAACTCTTTGAGTTACTTTTTTGTTTGATGTGTATTTCAATTGGTATTTCAATTTCATTTGGTTGTGTAAAAGGAATAATGTGACAAAGTTTATACAAGAAGCTTTTCGGATACTAATACAAACGTATTCCTTACACTATTGGCTAAAGTTGACTGGCATGAAGTTTACCAAGCAACAGTAGAAACAAAGTATGACACTTTCCATTCAATTTTTTTACACACCTTTGAAAATAGCTTTCCTAAAACGTTAAAAACTCAAAAGATTAACAACAACAATCCATGGATATCTCTTGACATAAAGAGAAAAAAACTGAACATTGTGGAGCTTGAAAAACAATACAGATTATTTAAAAATGATGACACTAAACACAAAATTAAACAGTTAAAAAAAGAGTTAAAGTTTGACTTAATAAATGAGAAAAAAAAATATTTTGATAAAAAGATTTCAGAAGCTACAACATAGTTAGATCAACTTGGAAAATAATCAATTCTGAGATTAACAACAAAACAAAACCAAACAGTAACATGCAAATCAGATCAAATGGTAAGCCCGAGTCGGATCCTGTTTTGGTTGGAAATGTAATAAATGATTATTTTATGAATGTAATTGATAACTTAGTTCTTCCAAACATCAACAACAATAAACTTCAACAATTGAAATTTGATGATCCACCTAAACCCACAAGCTACTTCAAATTCAAGCAGGTTGATGAAAGGGATGTGGAAAAAATAATAAGGTCCTTAACCAATAAACTTTCAACAGGTATAGATGAAATTCCAGTTGCTGTAGTTAAACAGGCATTCCCACTTATCTCAAAACCATTAACCCATATTATTAATTCTTCTTTAATTTCCGGCCATTTTCCTTGTAAATTAAAAATTGCTAAAATTGTGCCAGTCTATAAAAAAGGGGATGCATTCGAACCTTCGAGCTATAGACCAGTATCATTATTACCGGTTTTTTCAAAGATTTTAGAAAAAGTGGTGTACAACCAACTGCTAAACTTTTTAGAAAGTAATCTGTTGTTTGACAATGAACAACATGGTTTTCGCCCTGGTAAATCTACGATTACTGCGGGAATAAACTTTATTGAATCGATTATAAACTCAATCAACAAAAATGAAAAAGTAATTGGGATCTTCCTTGATTTTTCAAAGGCATTCGACAGTGTGACTCATGATAAGCTGCTTGATGTTCTTTCTAGTTTGAATATTGATAATAAGGAGCACAAGTGGTTTTCTTCTTATTTAAAAAATCGGCAACAATGTGTCCAAATTCAACATAAATTCAATTATCCCAATAGTAAATACACTTATACTCAAAACTATTATTCCGATTTTAAAACAATAAAACACGGGGTTCCTCAGGGATCCATCCTAGGCCCTCTATTATTCCTTTGTTACATGAGAGGATTGCCAAAAGCTATAAATGCAGGAGGTTCTGTATGCCTGTATGCTGATGATACCAGTATCATAGTTACAGGGGAATCCCAGGAAGAAATAGAGCTTAAAACATTTTTAAATCTTGTATCAGTCAGTGAATTTTCAAACAGTAAAAACCTTTTAATTAATTCAAATAAATCAAATTTTTTATCATTCAATACAAAACAGGCTAGATTAAAATTACAACCAAACGTTCAGCTAGATGGATCAAAAATTATTCAAGTAAACCATACAAAATTCCTTGGATTGATTCTAGACGAGAATTTGAGTTGGGATAAGCATGTTGATCATGTAGTAAATAAAATGTCAACTGGCATACATGCTTTGAGACAAATGTCTCATGTATGCAATATTAACACTCTCAAATCAATCTATTTTGCTCTGATCAACTCGCATATGGCTTATGGTATTGCTATATATGGCGGGACTAGCAATAAAAACCTTAAAAAAATTCTGAAACAGCAAAAGAAAGCATTACGAATTATCTTTAATATAAAAAATAGAAAATCCACAAAACCATATTTTTCCAAATTAGGAATCATGACGGTTTATGACCTATATATATTTGAAACCATTTTACATGTAAAAAAATTAAACACACAAAAATACAGTAAAAAATCACATACATACAACTTGAGAAATAACAGATATGTAGAACCGCATAAATTACAGATTTTTGAAAATAAAACAACTTTTATTGGTACTAAATTCCTTTATAATCTACCGAAGAATATTCTTTGTGAAGAAAAATATATCAGTTTCAAAACCCGCCTTAAAGAATACCTATTGACTCATCCTATCTTTTCAAGTAAAGATTTTTTTAATTCAAGGAATGTAAAATAAAAAAAAAATTATTAGTGTCATTGTCATACAACAACATAAAAAAGTGTTATTTGTAACCATCATATTTTAATTAAAGACATTAGTTATAAGAAATGTGACTCTATTCAATGTATTCATGTAAATAAAAAAAAATGAATAAAGATTATTTGATTTGATTTGATGATAGCGGTATGTTTAATAGTATAAAAGTTATAAAGCGTTAAAACCGGGTGAGTCATTTTGAAACACCCGTAATTGATTTCACTTGGAGGAATGAAATCGCGAGTTTAAGACTTGAAGGTCAGAAGTATCCAGACATTTGTATAAGGATGAGGCAACGTAAAGTGCATGCTGCTGAAAAGAGGATGCGTATGGATTGAGCAAGGTCTATTTGCGTCAGCCACGGCCTTTATTAGGAGTTTGGCCATTTTAAGAGCCACTACTAGTAATGACTGTAATGAGAAATAATGACTGGAATGTAATGTAATGACTGGAATGATATTTCTTTAATTGTGCTTTCTGCTTTTGTACTTAGTGAAAATTTAGATATCCTTACACATTAATTGGTGTATGATTTTTGTACTGTCTGTCGTTTTGGACATTTCTGGTTCTCTGTAGTGGGAATTGCGATACATCTCCGAATTTTCAACAGACGTAATAATTAGGCCTAGAACTTTTCAACCTAGTAAGCTCTTAAATTTAATTTTTTTACTTAGCAAATTGAATTTATCATGAAAGGAGAAAGAGTAAGGAGTTAGAAACTATAATAATGTTGTAAACTGGTTCATGGCAAGAATAAACTAATTGATTTGAATTGTAACTGCTTAAAACACTGAAACTAAAAAAACAAATTTAATTTAAACTAATATAGGCCTACAGGGGTTTTTATGTCAATAGCTTTTCCTAACCAAGCTAAGCACTTGTGAACTAATACTATAGGAAGGTAAATAAGTCAACTAAACAATAATTTAATAAACAAATTTTATTATTGTTCAACTAATATTATGTTATAAAATTATTTACTGTTGCAAATATTTCAAAGCTTTTAACACACAATAAATCAGTAACAAATGTTGTAACATTAAAACTAAAACTAATTTGGTATTAACATTACAGCTAATATGCAAACTTAACTCAAAATAAAAGTATAAAATGTATCATTAAATCTAAAACACACCTGTAGCAGCAAACCTAGCCTAATTTTAATCATAAAGCACCTACTTAAATTTTCTAGCATCTTTAATTGCTGACTTAATACTTTACAAATTTTGTTGATTATATTTCAAAAACATCCACGAATTCTTAACTAATTTATTTTCAAATATAACATACCAATAAAATATCACCCAGGTCTGCTGCACATTTGATTGTACAAGTGTTACTTTTAATTAATATCAACAAATTTCAAAGAAATGAAGCTATTTACCAAATATGTCCATATACTTTTACATAAGGCTTTAAGTGAACTCCTTGGTCCTTGCATGAAGAAATTGAGGAATCATAAATTGTTAAGTTTGTATAGTGTTGTAATTTCTAAAATGAAAAAAATAACTTTAGTTTTTATAACAAATTAATTAGGACTCAAGAAGTACCGAACCCCCATCAATATAGTAATAGCTTCTTTTCTTTATGGAATCTTCCATTAAAAATTAATAAAAGACCATATTAATAATTAGAGAGAAAAATTTAATTTAACAGGCACGATTCAGAATATAAAAATATTTCTTCATTCAAAGTCATGCCAATGCTCTAGAACACCAAGAGAATACAATAGAAACGGAAGACGAGAATTTAAAATATTTCAACGAACACATAGACATATTTTATATGCCATACTTGTAAAAAAATGCATCAGTAAAGATTTGAAATATCAATAATAATATTAGTACATAAATATATTTCAAGGTTTCCGATTTTACTTGAACCAAGTTTTTAAAAGTACAGAAATGTTACATAGGAATAACTTGTAAAAGTAAACAGGATATTATGTTAATTTGGCTTTATTTAAACCATTATGTTAAGGTAAAATCTAAGAAAGTGAAATTACAAAACAAATTTGATTCATCTTAAAATTTTTATGCAAATATCTTGAATTTTAAATACAAAACTATGATGTATTACCCAGCAAGTATGTTGAAATGGTTTTGCGTACCATATTTTGACTAATACTGCTTCAATATTTACAACCTACTTATAAGAGGGAGAAAGTTCAAGCATATCAATTAACTTGCAAGTACAATACAATTTGTTTCTACGATTCTTCAAATACAGTTTTTATCAACACATTCACTTTTAATAAAACATCAAGATAACGGATCAAAATAATGTTACTCATTATTTGCTAAGGTCATTCATTAGGTTATGTTACTTAAGAATCAAAATTGTTTTATTAGCCATTTCCAGCTTCAAATCTAAGCACAAAGTTTAAAAACGATCTTAAAGTATGAAAGACACTGTGATTCGAGATCAGTTACATATCTGGACTTTGTACTACACTATTCCAGGCTAATCACAAAACACTGTGGCTGTGATAAGACATCTCAGACAAATCTTCAACTCAAGTCAAAGGTAACATACTGTCATTATTTCAGGTCAAGAGCTGTAGTTTCATACCCACAACACATGTTTATTCAATACTGGAGAGCCAAGATTGTAACATCATTAGAGTTAAAAGTTGTTGCTAAATAAGTGTTTGTTATTGTAATGCAAAAACTAAATTTGATACTAAATAAGACTTTGATTTTATGTCAGGCTTATGTCGCTCTAATCCAAACCTTAATCAGACTACCTGTAGTTCAAAAAAGTAAAAAACGCTGCTAAGATAAGGGAGATTCTTTGTATCTCACCATTTTGTTAAAGATAAATTAAACATGTTAAATATTTCACAGTTCACACATATCTAACCATTGGTGAATCTACAGTAGATTTGGATGGGTAGCTTCCTATAAAGTCTTTAATGTGGCAACGTCCGGCCTACTGCCATGGTAATAACAGCAATAACAAACATGTAAACATAAAAATTGCGCAGATAATTAATGCATCAGCTGTTTCAGTTTGCTGGGACAGTGGTAATGCACTTTTGCCTCACCACAGCCTTGTATTAGAGGAAGCTAAGCTAAGCGAAGCTAAGCTTTTATACTGGTTTTTTTAACTAAGACCATTTATTAGAACCCAGATAACTGGTTCAGTTGTTTAGGATAAAGCCGTGTGGGTCGTACCATTTACTTAAGGATTCTGAAGTAGTCTTGCTATATGGACAAACTGTAGCCTAAACTATCTTTGTATAAAAATCACTTTGAATTGGGATTTTAAATGTCATATTTGACAGAAATCACTGAAATCAGTAATGTATGTCAGACCACTCTGCCGATGGACCAATTTAACTTTTTTTTTTTTCCTAAATCCTTCAACAACTTTTACATGGGAATAAAATGTCTGGTTTTATCTGTAGTCAGTGATTTAACATTGACATTAGCGAATTTAGAACTTGGCATAATACTCCAGTTCTTTTAGTCTTCGGGATCGTAATAATAACTATTTTGTTTCTGACAGAACTTGGGATGTTATTTATCACATGAGAAAATATTTCTTTAGGCACACCATAATCATGTTTTGTCATCAAAGAGACTTAAATTTGCAGTAGATTTTATACTTTGTACCAAAAGTATAAAATTTAAGATACAATTTTTCATGTTTAATTTGTTCTAAAAATCTATCATTACAACCTAGGCACACAACTAACTGTGCTCTTTCTTTGATCAAAATCATTATTTTTATTCAATATTTTTAATCCAAAGCTATTTTTTAAATGCAAACTCACTCAGAAATTTTAAGTATGCAATTAGTCTAAATGGGACAACCTTATTGGCACATCTCTATAACATATATGTTTGTCACAAGATTTCTTGAAACGAATACCCTTTTTCCTAGAAGAAAAACACTCTTTCCTACAAAGATAATTTCCTGTTAAATGTATAAATAGAATACTAATACAAAATGCATCCTAATTCGGTCCAGAAAAGGTAGATTATTAAAGTTAATAGTTTTCAAAAATAGTGTATAGGAAAGAACCAAAGTTTTCGCAATCAATTGTCATTTTGAATTATTTTTTTAACGTAATTTGATTAAAAAGATATTTAAAGGATTTAAAAACACATTGAGGGATTTAAAATGTAATTTTTTCGTCTCCTCAGCCTCAGACTCTTCAGTCAATAAAATACCATTCATGTACCTTAAAGTACTTTAGTGAATATCCATATGAAAATAAACTAAAAGGGCATTTACACCAGAGTTTGCGACAACATTTTATAGAATTTATTTTGTATCAGCTGTTGTCAAAAACAATTTTTTAAATTTTAACAACCATTTTTACATTTTGTATGCAGTTTTACCATGTCTTTCAAGGCTTAAACCCCTTCTTGTCACACGGAGCTGGTTTTTTCACCAATACTCACTAGCAGCTAGAACCAGCATCGTTTGACTGAATCTCCAGCTGCTAGAAACACTCGCATGAGCTGGTATTTCTAACCATTTAATATTACAAGTGCTTGAAGAGTCACTAGCAGGTCATGTGACCAGCCAATTTGGTTTCTTGTGCCATTCCAGCTCAGTATGACAGTATAGTGCATCATGCTAGTTCTCGCAGTAAGAAAAAATGAATTTTTAATTTAAATGAATTTACTTATAAAAAAAAAATTTAAAACTTAATGTTTGGAAATTTTGTCATGCATTACCATAATTTCCTCTTTACAATTGCTACATCTCACCTGTATTAACTAAATGAATGTGTTTTTGTGTTGATAAAAGATAAAGAACTTTTGTTATAGGCCAACCACAACTTATTGAATCAATTTGCAATTTGCATGCCTGTATAGATAAAAAATAATAGTGTTAAATATTAACATTGCATTTTTTCCCTTGCACTCTTTTTATGATGGCAGATCATAGACAAAACATAACTTCTAATACCAACAGACAACATTATTTTTGTTAACTACACCCACAGTTCCAATTACATCACTAGACTTGTAAGTTGTAACGCTCCAGCTAGCGCTCTGAAGAAATAGCAACTAAAACTGTTGGATCTGGCAGCGAGAACTAGCTGCTAAAACAAGCTCCGTGTGACAGGGGCTTTAAGTTATGTTTATAGGACAAAAGCGTTTAAGTGTGTATGTGTGCCATAATTTCTCATATGACAGTTGTAATACTTGGTATCAGTACATGAATAACTTCAATCACAGACATAAACACTTTCAACAAATTAAATCATGTGCCGTACAACTTTGTCAATAACATTTACATCAAAATTGCACAATCACATTCTTTACAAGGTTATAACATACAAAAAATGAATTTTACCATTCACTAATTATTTCAAGTAAGCCTAAATTCTACCTACTACTTAGCGTTAAAACTGAAAATATAAAATATATAAAATCTGTACAATAATATCAATAACTAACATATTATTTACCTTGTCTAGATATTTCAGGCAATCAGGAATGTTTTCAGTTAAGTTTTTGACTGTAAAACATCTGCAGGCTTTCCCAAACTTTAAATTTACCTATAAATTATTTTACTCTTATAAAACACCCTACTTATTTGAAAACTCTTAGTAAAATGATGATACTGGTAGTATATTTATAATGCTTTTCTATTAAATAATTTTAAAATAAGTAAAACATTTTAAAAGACAAAAATGTATAGAATAAAAATAAAAATTAATGTTAAGTTAAAATTTTTAAAGCATTCAGTATAAAAACTTCTCAACTTTGGCACAAAATTAAATGCTAATTATCTGTGATACTGTGATGGCTTGAATATTTGAGCCAAGCGAGTTTATACACTGAAAATACACTATGATTCTTCTGATAAGCAGTGGTGTAGTGGAGCAGGACAGTGTGGTACACGATCTATCTTTCTTCGACAATGGTGGGCCCCGCAGCGGAAAATGTACTAATACACCACTTCAGTGATACATAACATTTGTTATTTTAATGTTAAACCTTTGCTAGGTGTTTAAATTAATCAAATTTGTGTTTTGACTACATAAATTAACATTTTAATGAGATCTTTCACCTATGTTCTTGTTGCTGTACCACTTTGTGAATTTAAAAACACACTTCAAGTGACAAAAACTGGCAGTCGTAATAAATCTAAACTATATTTTTGGTCTATTAGACCATGAGAACATTAGAAAGGTCATTGAGATCATTTACAAACAAGAATCAATTGATCTTTGCTTACCATAAAAAAGTATACCATCTAAAAAACCAGGATTAAGACGATTATTTTGACTTAAGTCAATCAATATGCTACGGTTAAAATAGAGATTAGTAATTTAATATTTAATGTGAACAGCTTTGAGCTTGTAAAGATGAGTAAAATATTTTATGGTAAGTTTCTTTCACTTTAAAAAGTCAACCACGATCAAATTAAAACACTCAGTTGCAATTCAACGTTTTGAAAATTTAGCGAGCTAAACAATACCAATATTAACCACATTGCACAACAATCAATGTTAACGCTTAAAACTAGGTAATTATCAAAATAAAAGCATCACTTCCTATTATATATAGCCGTGCAAAAGCGACGAGGAAAAATAATGCGAGATAAAGCGTGAACCTGAACAACAGTTGAACTTTTTACACATTGGTAGATTAACTGGTGGAATGGGAGCGTTTCCTCTTCCAACAATCCGGGTAGAGCAGTTTCTGCTCTTCTGAGAGATCTCGAGCACCTTGAATATACTTGTCTCTCTCCTCTTGAGGAAGCATCCTCCACGCCTCGCCCAATATTACACTGATGGCCCTGTAAACACGGTGAGTTTAGCTCCTCGTTTATAATAATAACTTATCATCTTGTGTCTTGGCCTGAGAAACTCAAGTTTGGAGCCTAGCCTAAAGGCTTGAAAAATCAAGCTACAGTCAGAAAATTGAACCAAACCGAGTTGTTATTCTCTGGATATTGCGATTGAAAGTGTCTCCAAAGATTTCAATCACATTGTGTCTGAGGATGCGGGAAAAGATATCTCAACCATCTCAGCTAAAGTCTGTTTGGGTGCATTATTTCAATTCATTAATTTAATTTGATTAAGTTCAGACATTTATTATCACTAGGCCTACATTAAGTATTCATTCCATGATCATACTCATCTCAGAAACTGTTTGGCTTGAGGAAGATAAAATTAAGTGACATCAATATTATAAGTTGAGGTGGTGCCTGTTTGTCTGTCCGTCTATTTGTCTGTGCAGCTGTCACGACCAAATTACTAAAAGGCAATATAGCCGAAATTACACACAAAGATGGTCCATATATCTAGGAATGTCTTAGGCCGGTGACACACTATCCGGTTTAGCAGGATGGGTTTTTATTGCATTGACATTGCCCTGTCACACTTGTCCCGTTCTACAGCAACATATTTTGTGTAAAGAGCGCGAGCATCACATGCAGTGCACTGTTGATAGCGACAACATTACGATGTTGTCTAAAGTGAAATTTGTCTGTGCTCTTGAAGCAAGTGGTTTGTTGCAAAAACCTTACGTAGGCGTTAATTGGGTACACCATTTTCATTGCACAACCGCATCAATGTGACAGCTCCCATTAAAACCCATGAGTTTGAATCATCCCGCCAAACGGGTCCCGTTTAAACCGGACCGGCGAAACCGGATAGTGTGTCACCGGCCTTAAGCCTATTCACCCTGAGTTCCCCCGGGCTTCGACCCATGGATGTCCAAAGTTTTGAGGTGAGGTTTTCAAAAGTAAATATTGATTGGTCTCCATGGTAGGATGTAAAAACTCACAATGTTTATCTTTGGTTTGACATTTCAATTTAAACAAGCATAACTGACAAATTTTTAACTTGATCATGTTTAACTTATTTTGGCATTCAAAAATGAAATGTATAACTCAACTAAATTTAAATGTTCAACAAGGCCAATATGTAATAATTTATTTTATTCACCAGCGCTTTTGGAAAATATATCCAAAGTTCAAAAGATTTATTTTTTCTAAAACTATTATTTATATATTTTTCCAATACGGTATCCTATACCTCATCGGTTTTAACATTATTTAAAATTAATTTATTATTAAGTAGGTAAATATTCACTTTTTTTACTAGTGTAAACACAGCCTGACAATGGAAACACAGTTTCCAAAAGCGCTAGTGAATAAAACAAAAATATTAGGCTACATATTGGCCTTGTTGAACATTTAAATTTAGTTATACATTTCATTATTGATCATGTTTGTGAGGAAAAGGCATAATAGGTCGATAAGGAATAAGTTTTGTATAATGATTATGATGTAGTAGCACACGTGAAAGCAAGGAGAATAAGGTGGACAGGACATGCACTACGGAGAGAACAAGGTTCACTATTAAAAGAAGCAAGCATAGGAAAGCCAGAAGGGAAAAGAGGACCATTAGGAAGGCCCAAGAAGAGATGGTGGGATAGTGTCTCCAAAGACGTCAGAGACGTGGGGGCAGAAGTGGAAGAGACAGGAGATAGAGAAAGATGGAGAGCAGTTGTTGATGCAGCCAAATCCTAAATGGCCATGGGAGTGAGTGAGTGAGTTCCTATATAGGCTACTCCAACAGTTATAGGCAAATTCAAACCATTTACATGTTTGTGCATATGATGGGGATCGAACTCTATTCACAAGACAGACCAACAAGAAACACCAATATTCTTAATTACAGGGGGGACAGAAAACACAAAAAATAACTATATCTCACCTGTTATCTTTTCCTGGGTTAGTTTGAATGAGCTCCAACCGGTAACGTTTTGCAAACAGCATGAAGGCATTCATCGGCCGCTTGGGTTTGTCCGACTCCTGAGTTTTACGTGTTGGAGTCGTCGGAGGTGAGAGTAGAAACGCCGGAGACTGAGGTTGAGGCTCTTCCATGGTTGGAAAACTGAATCTGAATAGATTAAACTCTTAGAACGTTGAAATTGTAATAGGCTAAGTAAAAGAAGAAATGTTAAAACCTTTCTGGGGCTTGGCTGGATAGAGATGAAAGAGTAAGTCACAATTTTCTTAGACATTTAGGCCTAATTGTAGGTAAAACAAGAGTTATTTCATTATTTGATTAAACTTATCCTATATTTAAATGAAAATATATAGACGTTACACATAATCACTTTATTGTCACTGTAAAATATGTAGCCTATGTTATTGTAAATAAAATATGTTGTGGACATATTTTAATATGGACATAAAAGCAGCGTTGTTTTTCAGCATTCACTCTCTATCAGTTTAAAGGCCAGCACTATAACCACTCAGCTACATAAAACTAAAAAAAAATCCCAGGTAGGCCATACTTTAGGCCTACATAAAGAAGAATCTGAAAACCAAAATACATTTTTTTCTCTGAAAGACTTTTGGAAGTGTATGCACAAAGGGCTTCACTTGACTAAGCGCCCCAGAAGACAAAAGATTATAATGTGTTTTCTGTATCATATCTATGCACTTTGGACTACCTGGTATTTTTCTAATGTACACAGGCTGCTATCCCTTTGTTCTAAGGGATCACAACCCTGGCCTAGTGCCTTTCCTTAAACACAACTGATCAAATGGGTTGTTTACATTATTTAATCAGGGAACACTGTGCCTATTGAAACTGACTAGGCGAAAGTGATTATGTGTGAAAGTGTAAAAATTTACTTGGGCTAGTCTTATTTGTATCAGCCTATTTGACAATGACAATCTCATACATGTCAAAATAAATAAATAACCAACCAATTGAAATAACAGAAGCCGTAAGGTTCCTTGGCCTGACATTGGACAGCAACTTGTCTTGGGACAAACATTGTAAACTTGTTATCAATAAAATAAATTCTGGTCTTTGTGCGATTAGAAAAATGTCAAAACTATGCAGTGTTGATGTTTTAAAAATGATCTATTTTTCCCATATTCAATCCCATATATCTTATGGCATATGTGTATATGGAGCCACCTCAAATTCGAATCTAGACCAAATTTTGACAATACAGAAGCAATCAATCAGAGCTATGTTAAAAATGAACAAAGATGATTCTGCAAAAGAACACTTTAAACGTCTAAGGATCCTCACTGTTTATGGTTTGTATGTTCTTGAATGTATTATGTTTGTCAAAAACAAAAATTTTATTCCACCAATTAAAGAAAATAATCATAACTACAATACACGTAACAAAAATAATTTTGTAATTGGAAAACACAAATTAGAGCTCTTCAAAAAAAAAGACTGTCAATGCAGGACATGAATTTTTAAAATTTATTCCTTTAAAAATTAAAACAGAACAAAAACCCAACATTTTTAAAAAACGTCTCAAGGAATATTTAATGGACCTGTCCTTGTACTCTTTAGACGAATTGAAAATGGCGATATCATAGTTTTAAGCATTAGTTTTAACTTATTTGACACTATTCATGTACAACTATGTATATTATGAATAAAGATTCTTGACTATGACTATGACTATGAAAAAAGGTATACTAGGTCAGATTGGTATATTGTTGACAGTAGGTAATCAATATGTGAAAATCATATGTTATCAAAAGCCAGAGCTTATTTTCAATCTAACCTCTTTATCCTCTCGCAGATGTCAGGCGAGGGGAGTGGTAATGGGAGAGACGATGGGAGGAGAGGATGCAGTATTACATCACCCGGCTGCAGCGGCAGGCACTTGAGTCCGTAGCGCTTCTGGAAACTGTCTGGGCAGACGGCAACCCACCCACGATCCTTGACAAGGAAGGGGTGGCAAGGGGTGACTTCTGCAATGACCTCGCCGTAGGACGAGAGGGAGCAACAGACCACCTGGGGAGTAGGGGAGGGAGTGACTCGCTCCACTAGCAGCTCTCCCGACCAGTCGTTGGGAAAGGATGGCATCTGTTCCACGAGTCGCCAACAGCCTCCCACTTTTACTCTTACACCTGCCAAACATGATTAACATGCTGGAAATAAAATTCTACTGAGTCATGAGTGTTTTACTGAGCTTCACAAAAATATGTTTAACAAAAGATATTTAAAACGCTTCAGAGTCAAATGACAATGGCAGAATTCCTCTCATTTGAATTTTCGCTACTCTGAGCACAGTTTGGTCCGTATCAGCAAAACTTGACTTTGAATCGAACAGATAACATAGTTATTTTAGAGTTACTCTGTGTGCAGGTATTGCTTCAATTGTAGCTTGTTTAATTTTTGTTACCTCATTGGCCTACCTAGTTTAATTTTTCAATCAACTTCCCAAAGTATTTTAAACATTTAACCTTATAAATGTGTGCTACTAAATAAAACCAATGGCTGACAACAGCCTGATTTATACCTGTTTATGGAAAGAGATTAAAACAGTAGCCTAGGTTAGACGAAAAATAATCTCACCTGACTGGAAACAATGCCAAACGGGCGACGGCCACGGACACTTCCAAGAGCCAAACCTGTGAACCAGTCTGGAGTCTGCCAACTCTTCTCTGCTGCTTCCGAGCGAGGAAGGCGCAGGACTTAGCAACACCGAACCGTTTGTAGAGAGATCAAGGACGAAGCTGTCTGTGAGATCATGTGAGATCGGTTCTAAATGAGATCGTAGGCCAGAGACGGCTGGAGAGACGACACTTGTTGTTTGTTCAGCGCAGTATTTTATACTAGGTGACGAAGGAACAGTGCTTTCCGAGGTAGAGACAGTGTTTTCCTCTGCTATCGGAGGAATAATCGTCACTTCAGCGTCTGCTTTGGCCAGGTTAACAGGTATGCTGTGCGCTCTGAAACAATATTTATTTAAAGTCTAATACTAAAACAACTGGCTGATGGAAATTATAGGCCAAATAAGGCATTAAAAGCTTATCTCAAAAAACTGACAAAAAACAGAATAGTGGACTGTATAGGTACATATTTCGGACTAGGTCCCCTGTTCAACTACAAATCATTCTTAAGCTTTAGTGATACTGTTCCACAAAGTAGAACTTAAAACTACAAGAACTAAAGTGGACATGTGTAAGAATAGTACATAGATTCTCAATTGATGTTTACATATTTAGTTTGTAAAACAACATTCATTAAGAGTAAATATTGTGAAGACTTTAAATTTGTTTCATTGCTGTAGGTAACCTAATATAATTGAATACTGAATTTTCATGGAGTAGGACTATAGCCTAGGCCTATTCTTAATGTTTTAATAGGCTACAGGTACCTTTTCCTAAATGGCAGATGTTTCTGCATCAGTGGGCTCTTTGGACTTGTAGCGATGATAGCAAACTCTTTGAGCATGGATAATGGCATTTTCTCCCTCTCTTCGGCAGAAAGGTTCAATGGAGGAGGGATAGGTTTCATTTTTTTGGCAGTCTTAACAGTGAGATCTCTGGGTTGGTCTTCTGAACAACTTAGGTAACTTTCTGCCATTTTAACCTCTTGAGGCTGAGTTGTGTGCTTAATAATCTAAAAAAATAAACAAAATATATAACTCTTTCATTGATGTAGGGAAAAACATTTTTTTGGTTTGAATACCGTACCTTACAGTAACTGGTCCCAGATCTTGGGTTATAGCAATTATTTAATTTTTTATTTTTTGTGTGCGTTTCTGAGCAAATGGCATTTTTTACAATTTGAAAGGTATCGGTCCAAACTTTGGTCATGATAGATACTAAGTTATCTAACGTGGACCTTCAAGCGAAATCCCCATAAGTTACAGGGAATAAGCTACAGTTATAAGTCATGTGACGTAATTTTCCTGAAGACTAGGCCTAAACGTGGGAAATTACGCCACCTGTACGATAAACGAAGTCCCAGGAATCGCACGAGTCGGGTTGCCGGGATTTTCCCAGGAGTCGATAGTGATTAGGATAGCCTCAATTTGATAGCCTTGGTTATCGGAGCTTGGGACGAACGTAGCGGATTACCAGACACCACACTTTTAATCACCACTCTAGTCAGGGGAGTGTGGGGAATCAATAATTTTGACGTGACTCTGTGGGCAATAACTACTTGACACTCTACTTAGCTACTTAACTAGACAAGTAAGTAAACTAAGTAGTCATCCCGCTTACCTACGGAGTTAATGTACAAGAGTTGAACTGAAGTAGACAAAGGTTAGCTTAAGATAGGCCTTGCCTACCCCAAGTCCCATAGAGTCTGAATTTACGAAAAAAACACAAGCTGGCTTAAGTTGTCCTGGTGAGAAACGAAACGAGAAAAATAGAAACGAAAAATAAAACTGCTCCTTGAGCTTAAAACGAAAACTAAAACTAAAACTTGTACTTACTCACGTGGTCAACTTAAGCAAAACTAGTCTAGCAGAAACCTGTCTGCTGGGACAAACTTAGGGACTTCGACGAATTTGAAGAAGATTTAAAAACTTAAAAAAGAAAGTCCCAATAGCCTACAGGCTATGAAACGTTAATTCGGAAAGTAAGTCAACAACCACAATATTTTACTAAATTGGTTGGTTAAAACGTATGGCTAGTTCTGGGAGTCAGGCCAAGCCTGCAAACTTCAGCAAAGTTATACCAACTAAAAACTGGTAAACTAACTTAATGTACGAAAACCTAGGCTAAATGGTTTATTTCACAACTTACCAAACAACAAAAGAATAATCCTCTAAAACGATTTTACGCGCACATGATGCACCGAACTAGAAATTCAAACCTTCAGAGCTTACGGCGTTACGAGACAAATTAATTATCGAAACGACGACGAACTTGAAAAAGCGTTCACTTCGAATTTCAGCCAGGACGAGAAAGAGAATTTTTTCCCGTTCCACGTCACGATTTCGCCAGTCCGGGAAGGGTTAAGTTAACTTATGACCAAATCCCCACCTTTGACAGGAAGGGAAGTATAGGCCTACCACTAAGTAAGGCACTTGGCAAACCCTTTAGATAGGCCTTTAACTTATTTGGTCTTAACTTCTCTAGGTAGGGGCTACTCTTTTAGTGAGATGAAATTTCAACTTAATTTCTTTAGATCTTTAGATAACTTAAAGCTCAATTTAAATAACCGTGCAGTATGCTTTTTCTTACTAACTTAAGACTAAATGTAGGGAGCATAACTTATAAATATAACTTAGCATATAACTTAGATCTAAATAACTTATATTAAAAGGATTCATCTCACAATTCATAACATTACTTAACTCAACTTTCGTTACAGTCAATTAAATTACCAGTAAGTTAGGCTTAAAGTCAAAACTTTGAGAATGAAGAATTAAACCATTAGCCTATAAATATAGGACTAGGCCTACGTGACTACCATAAGTACAGTAGCATGGGCCTAATCATAAATTGATAGGCCTACTTTAAATAGGGTAAGCCTAGACCCTAAATTACCGATAGGCCTAGTTTTTGGTTAGAAATTTGTAGAAGGCTAAATCGATGGAGTTGTAGCCTAGGACCTATATCAAAGTTGCATTGGCCCAAGCTTCACCAACTTAAGGCACTTTAGTTTACGTCCCTACTACATTCATTATATCGATATCGAATAGGCCTAGGCCTATAGGCAATAAACTTAAGTTAGGCCTAAATATTATTCAATATTCATTCGAATGAGTGTAGAACGTAAACTAAAGTGCAGCCTAACTTAATGTAATGACTGATCTGATGACTGCAAAGAGTAAACGAAAGAGACTAGCTTAGGTATGCTCGTTTACCCGAGAAATCCAAACTATTAAAACAGGCAGATAAATAGAGCCTATTATCATAGTCACAATTAAAATTCAAAAACATTAAAACAGTATGTTATTAGATGGTTAAATAATTCTAAATTGCATTACAGTACAAGACAAACAGAACTAAGCTATAAATAGCCTAGGCCTAACTTGGATCTGAGAAGACTGGTACAAAGGCATAAGTAAAGTAGGCCTAACCTTAGCGAGGTAAAAAAACGGAATATTTATAAAGTAAAATTACTACCTTAAAATGTATATGATTCTTTAAACTTATAACATGACTTACAGAACAGTAAAACAAACCAAAACTAAATAAATCACCAAATGTTTACATATTTCTGACAACAATCAACAAGTAGCAAAATGAAAGCAAGTAGAAAAGAAGAATAGCCCAATGCCCCAATGCCCAATAGAAGACTGTTCTGTTTCATTTCCATAACCTTCATGCATTTCATTTCCTAAAAGCGGTTTCCTTTTACTCCCACTAAGCGCTGATTAAAGTCAATAACGTTGCTGATATTATAATTGAAATACTTTTCAATATCAATCATTTTAACGTTGATTAAATAAGTAGTAGTAATTTTATATATTACTAGCTGTAACCCGCGGGCTTTGCCCCGTTTAACTTCTTAATTTTCAAGATTATCTCGTTCGCATGGCTCAATCACGTCCTGGTTGAAGTTTGTTCGCTACGCTCACTCACCTTTAGGTTGGAGCTCGTTCGCTACGCTCACTCACCTTTAGGTTGGAGCTCGTTCGCTGCGCTCACTTGCCTTCAGGTTAGCTCGTTCGCTACGCTAACTCGCCTTCAGGTTGAATTTCGTTCGCTACGCTCACTCACCTTTTGGTTGCAAATTAGCTGTTGTCATAATGTAAAAGAAATAATAGTGCTGCACCCTGTTGGTAATCCTTGTAACTTTAATGCTATTGAACATCATAGAACAGAACCAACTTGTTTAATTGAAACAGCTGTTAAGATTCAATAATTCCATTTCTCATAAGGTTAACATGGGAAACTCCAGAGCCACTGGGGTGGAGCCCGAAAGGATTTTTGAAATAAGAATATGCCTATATGTTAATCGGGAATGTGAGCTATCATCATGCCAAATTTCAGCCCAATCCGACCAGTATTTTTCGAGTTTACTTTTCCCATACACACATACAGCAACCACCTCTTTTTTATAATAGTATAGATAGATATTTTAATAAATTTATGTTCATAATTTTAAAATTAAATTAATAAAGTGTTAGTGTGTGACGTTGCCAATTCTACAAGGCCGCAACCTGTAGTAAGGTGGCCGTGCCAATGGCTACTGGGGACCTTAAAACGAAAAAGTTAATCATCGGTCCTGGGTCTAGGTCTTACCATAATATGAGACCTGCAGTAATACTCTATTCCCTAAATGGGAAATTCGCTATAAGCAAATATAAAACAGATAATTATTATCGTTATTTTTCAATTGAATTTTAAAATGCCAGTCCAAAAAAATAATTGTAGTGTAATAACTGTTTTTCAATTTCATCATTACTGTACTGCAGGATTTCTTTTGAATCTACAAAATATGATTGATCAGATACTTAGGAGTACCTATTTTTTGTCTATGTTATAAGCTATACTCCGCGCGCGATAACTTTTCATTTGGGACTTGCACAACTTGGCAACGCTGCAGGGCTCGCTACCCCATCCTATACCTGTCACATATCGAGCCAAAGCGACAAGAAGCGGGCGCTCGCCTCGGCGGTGCGACGTTGCCGATACAAAATTCACACGGAACATCCCAAGTGCAAAGTTATCGCGCGCGGACTATACCTAGGTATGCCGCATTTTCAAGATTGTAAGCCATTGTAAGTGTTTATTGTAAGCTATGGAACAAATTCCCGATTATAAGCTATGCTATACAGGGAGGCTGAAAATAAATTACACCCCCCTTAACTTTTTAACCATTTGACATACTGTATTTTTGAAATCTGTTTGTGGCAGCCTTCTTAGATATGAGGGGCTACAAAAATTATGGTCAATTTTGAAAATATTGCCATTAGGAGTAGTGGGGGTAGGGGATAGCTCAGCATTTTCAAACGACAAGTAAAGTCGATTTGGTGTAATTTTACAGGGCTTGACGAAACATAAAAATTGACATAAAGAAACCCAAAGTCGGCCCACTAATAACAAAATGGCTCCATAAAACGTTCAAATCCAATTAACCATGAGGGTGGCAAAAATTAACTTGCACCTTTAACTTTTTAACTATTTGAGATATTTGAAACCTGTTTACGACAACTTATTGTTTGGATATGAAGGGCTACGCATGGTTATGGTCAGTTTTGAAAATTTCGCCCTTAGGGGTACCTAGTGGGGGTAGGAGGTAGCTCAAAATTTTCAAATAGCAAGTATTATAGTCGAGTTTAGTATCATTTTGCAGGTCTTGAAAAAACATATAAAGAAAATAGAAATCGGACCATTAATAACAAAATGGCAGTTCAAAATTACTTTTAATAACCATTGTCTTAATCATTTTTAGCTTGACCAAAATTGACCATAGTTATTGGTAGCCTCTCATATTTAAGAAGGTTGCCGCAAACAGATTTCAAATATCTCAAATGGTTGAAAAGTTAAGGGGGGTGTAAACTACTTTTCAGCCACCCTGTATAGGTATAAAACCACACGCTTTCCGCTTAACAGACACAAAGGCTGCCGTGTAAGAAACTGCAGCTTCATGGTTTTAAATTTAGCAACGTACGTAAAATGAAAATGAAAATAGGGAATGTTTTGTTTCTGTTATATTATTTGAGTTGAGGTTATGTTTTTGTTTTGTTTGTGAAATCAAATTAAACAATTACACTTAGTTAGGGGGTTAGGGCCTTCTTAGCTTAGCCTAATCCCCTCAAGTGTAATAATACATAGGTTTAGTTAATTTATCTTTTTAACTTAAACATTATACTGTATTAGGCTTAATTGAAGTGAACTGTAGTTATGGATGTTGGGCTAGGCATATATCCTGTTGTTTTTATTTTAACCCAAGTGATTTACATTTAGCGACATATTCCACAATGTCACTACTTATACATACACAAGAGTTTTCAGAATATTTTAGAAATGTCTCCCAATTTCTTCAAGAATTTTCGTGGATTTACAAAACCCCTGTCACCAACCTACTTACCCAAGATGTTTTCTCTAAAATACCCAATGAATGGAAAGGACATATTTTAGATTTGTCTATCGAGGAGTTGAATGAAGTACCACTAGGTTTTATAAAGGTAGGCTTATGCTCATTCTTGTATATTTTTGCGTTAAGCGTTATCCTTTCTTGCATTTTAGCATTAAGGTCTTTCTAGGCCTACATGCTCGACTCTGAAAACCATAACTTATGTAACTTAGGCCTAAGTTACATTTGCAATTCATAGCTGCTAAAACACTGGACCGATGTCGTTAACTTAAACAAAACATTGCATATACTGGGCCGAAATGTCACTCAATACATAACCACACAACTAGACAATCAAACAATCTGTACATCCCACCTGTAAGACTTTCAAAATTCACGATAACTTAAGCCATAAATTTTTACAAAATTACAACTTTTCAATAGGCTAAACTTCCCATTCTATTTAGAGAAATCGATAACATAAGTTAAGTTAAACCTTTTCAAATCAAAATAATCAAAATGGCTAATTAGCAAAGCCTTTTTTCATATAGACAATTTTTTGAACAAATGTTTGAAGCCAACATGAATAGGCTAAGTTTAGCCTACACTTGATGGTTTGCTACAAATGTAACAACAACTTGTTTGTTAGTTGTTGGTCTAATGGAATAGCCCCTAAATAGGCCTATTTGCTATTTTCTTTATTTTTTTTTAAATTTCTCTACGGCATAGCCGTTGGCTCTGGTTTCCACGTTGGTGATTTTTTTTTTCATACAACTGGCAGAATTATTTTTTACTCACAAATTTATACAGGTATCGATGCATTTTAGTTGATCCAGTCTACTTCAAGTGAGTTGTGTGTAATACAGTAGCCTAAGTTTAACCTTTTTTGTGTTTCATATCATGGATAAAGATCGACCTAAGTTACTAGTAATGAATAGCGACACCGATACCTACCTACAAAAAAAGTACCACAAGTTTAAGTGATGGACCAATGTCATCTACAGTAGAAAAAAAACTAGTTAAAAAATATGTTAGTGGATAGAATTTTTATTTCAATTTATTGCAAATTACATTATTTATAGGCCTACCCTAATTGATCAGAAAAATGAATGGAAGAGATCGGTCTGTGGGTATGTTTAATTCAGTAAAGCTTGGTTCAAATGGCAAATCTGGCCCCCAGGTTAGTCCATTGACCTAAAGTCTGGCATCAAATATAGTTGTTGACGATTAGTAGTGAAAATGTTAACAGAATTTTGCTGGCCTAGCTTATGATTTAATACTGTAATATTAAGTTTAATGACTTTAAAAATCTTTTAAAACAGGACAGTTCACCGAGGACTCTCCAAAACTTCATAAGAAATTGCAAGGAACTAACTCTACCTGAGTTGGCTGGTTTGCCCTTAAATCTTCCATCTTGTTCTGATGATTGGCTACAGTCAGTGCCTAAAGAAATATGGAAGGGAATGAGCCAGAAAAAGAAACAAGAAGTTCAGTTGATGTCTGCGTTTGTCCATAATGAATGCAAAGCTTTAGGAATCAGTAACATTGTGGATCTTGGATCAGGATTGGTATGACATTTTTACTTTGCTCTGTTAGACTTATGACTTTAGTAATATCTTTAACTATTGATACAACTAGACTTTCCATTCCCATGTTTAAGTTGTTGTCAGTTTTTTTAACCAAAATCATCGTAGTTGATGTGAGCCACCGACAGAGTGTGCTGATCTAAATCAACAAATTTCTGTAAAATACACACACACTTTTTCTCCAAGTCAAACTACAGTACCAGTAATGAAATGTCTGATTGTGAGATATAGCAAATGTTATGGTCCATCAACTTAGTCAGCAACAAAAAATAAGGAAGAAAATTGAATTTTAGACACTAGCGCATACTATGAGCATTGAAATAATCATCATATCCGAGAAATGATAAAAATTTATTACCGTATTTTTGAATGAGTAATAACTTACAGTATCTTGAACTTAACTGATTAAAATGATTATTAGCTCAAATTAGAGCCTATATATAATTTACTGATTATTTTAAATCTAAAACATGTAAAAAACATAAACGATACTGGAGCTATTAATTTTTAATCACAGAAAAACCGTATGAAAAGTAGTTTTTATGTTGGTTGTTTACCTTCCGTTCACCTTGAAACTCGTCCGATTTGAATAACTAATAGCTTAAATGAAAGCCAGTATTTCACTGAAGGTTCTTAGACCAAAATATATAGGATTTTATAATTTTATAACTGGTGATAAACATCTTAAATTGATGTTAAATATACAGGGTGTCCCGTAAGTAAACAGCCAAACTCCGGGAATCGGTTCCATGGGTCAAAATAAAGAGAAAATCAAGAACAACATTTTTTTGATTGCTTTGTAAACCAGATATCCGCCATTTTATATTTTTGACATAAACATTTTTATTTTTGAATTTTTTTTACGGATCTTTATAAAACTTAGTACCGGTATGTAGGTTAAGGTAGAAAAGACAAATTTTAAGAAAAAAAATCATCTTAATTCAACTTAAAATTTCAAAATGGTGGCCATTTTAATTTTTTAAACATAAATTTACCAAAAAACGGCTAATTTTATGAAAAAATGTCACGAACGATTAGTTTGTAATGTTATAAATGTTTTTATTTCAGGGCTATGTTAACCGTCTATTACTTCTCCAAGGATACAAGATTTTAGGTGTTGAATCTCAGGAAAAACTTGTTAATTTTGCAACAACCCTTAAAGACAAGATATTTCCTAGTGAAATAGCAATGAAGATAAGTTACATTAACCTCAATATTTGTGAAAATTCAATACCAGAGTTGAGAAATGCTTTGGTAAAAACTTTAATTACACCGTACAAGGGACATAGGACTATGTCAAATTATGAAGACAATGAAGATAAAAATAATTTTAACCAGAAAGAAAATTTTACAAAATGTAGATATGAAGAAGTGGCTGAAGGCAATGGGAAGGTAAGTTGTTCAGGTTTCAGGACTGTAGATTGAGGGTTAAAATAATGTCTCGGTCAGCTCTGTGTGCAACTTATCAGAGTTTACCTAATTGTTTGTGATTGAGGCCCACCATCACCACCATCATATGCATGGTTTCATTATTATTTTACACTTAAACTATTAACTAAAAATCCTCTCATCCAGGCAACACACTAAAGATACAGAATCTTATTTGGACAATGTGTAAGATCAGATAGTTGATTCCAACGAGCAATTTTATTAGCCAACATTATGCCTTTCTGTATCATACCACTAGTCCGTATTAATGAGAGTAAGAGTGCAGGACTCCTGATTTAGAGGCTGGATTAAAAATTGGCCAATTATTAATGGTGTTTAGCAGCATTATCCTGGTGGTTGAAGCTCAACTTTTAAGCTTTTGGTAACACCTAACAAGAAACAAAAAAAGTATTAGATAAAGACAATTTATTAAATATTTTCTTTTCCTTTTAGGTGTGCATGATCGGTCTACACGCTTGTGGTGACTTGGCAGTTTCTGGTTTAAAGATGTTTCTGAACCTCCCAGAAGTTTCAGCTCTGGTAATGATTCCGTGTTGCTATCACAAGATGGCTCTTGATTCTAATGTTGAAGTAGAATCAGGAGTTGAGAAATTCCACAACATTCCTCAGAGCCAGTCGCTTGCTAAAGCTTGTGCTGAGGGAGAGAATTTTATTTGCCGTTCACTTCTGCGGCTTGCAAGCCAAGGGACAAACTCCAGCTGGATGAGTTGGAGTGCGGCAGATCATCGGCAACATTCATTCAACGTTCTCGCCAGAGCCGTTGTTGAGTTGTATGCTCAAAAAGGTGAGTTAATACAACTAAACTTAAAAAAGTGCAAGCTTTGAAGGTTGTATAGTTAGCCTAGTGGTCAGCGATTGTGTCTTTAATGCATCAGGGACCAGTTCAATCCCAGACATATCAAAGAAATGTTAACTGTTTAAAAAAATATTTTCCATAAAATCGTTTGTGAGTTTTCAGTGCAACATGTCTGTAGTTTAGACACTAACAACAATAATCTGTATTGAGGAAATGTTTTTGTGACCATTTATAAACATGAATTTTTATAGTGTTCTATAGTTTTTATGTAATAGGAATAATTCAATAGATAAACTTTTGTTAAGTGGTTATATTCAAACATACCTAATTGAAATATTGATAAGGTTTGATTAGAAAGGGCTTATTGCCTGAGAATTAAGAAGACAAAGGAAAGGAAAACAGACTTACCTTAAGAATTGTAGACATCCAACTTCACTACATAAGAAAACACAAAAGGAACACTGAAAATTTTGAAGCCACTGGCCCCTTTCTCAACATTGAGAATTACATTAAATTCTTGTGAATCTATGATACAAAAGTACCACTGAATATGTTGAACCCACTGGCATTTCTTTTGTATTTCCTTCTGTGTTACTTAAGTGAAGTGGGATGCCTACAATTCTTAATGCAAGCCTGCTTATCCTGTCCTTTGTCCCCTTAATTGAAATATTGATGAGTCGGTTTTAGACAAGGTTGTTGTTTCGCTATCATTTATTGGCTGCTATGTAACAAAAGGTCGACTTTAGCAAGACCATGGTTCGGATGATATAAAACACCTTAAAAATTTAAAAAATTCCATTGGCACTACAAGACATAAAATAAGAAAAATCACAGTTATGGTAATATTTATGGTATTTGTGGTAAATAAGAAAAACTATCACTAAATGGTATTACAAAATTTAAATTTAGGTAGGCCTATACATGTTGTATTCTAAGTATTTTTTGTCTTTATTGAAATAGAAGGTTACAGAATTCAAACAGTGTAAAATATTCATTAGGTAGCCAAAATAAAATCAAAATATCCAAACAGATGTGGTTAAATAGGATTGCATAAAAATACTTACAATCGGATGGACGACGATTTTCATTTCATTTCATTAATTTCATTACTTAATCTGCCTCCTAACTCAGAAATAACAATATACATTTGATACAACGTTCAAGTATGCCTATAAAGTATGATGTTTGGTTTGATTTTAGATCCGTGGTTGGACTGAAAATGGTTGACTTTAATCTTGACATTGTCTCAACTTTTCATTGGTGAAAAAAAGTGTTTGCTTCCCCAAGTTGGAGACAACAAACATTTAAATCTAAGAAAGATTGGCATGCCTACAAAACTGATGCGCACAATAAATTTGTTGTATTTAGTTGTCTTTTTCAGAAAATGCCTCATTTAAGAAGAATTTTAGAAGATTGGCAAGGAAGAGTTTGCTGAAAGACCAAAATTTTTCTAATTACATTAGTGAAATACTTAGCCGCAGTGAGATGAGAGATGAAGATCAAATGACTGATTTTGCAATAGAAAATGAGAAAATACACAGCGAACTTTTATGTCTGTAAGTAAAAATCAATGTTACCATACTACATTACTGCTGTCTTATGATATAAATTACATTTTACTAATTCATTGTATGTGAGTTTTCTTCACAAGTTAATGTGTACTAAACGACGAGTTAAAAGGGAAAGGAAACAATAAAATACTCAATGAATTGTTATATAGGCTAGAAGTATATATCAATGGTTGAGCTATTTTCCTACTTTTACAGATGGGAGCTGCACCAAGACAAGTTACCACTGGTGGAAGTAATCACAGTACTCCAGATGTGTCTAGAACCGGTTGTCGAGAGCCTGGTTGTGGCTGACAGAATCTGCTTCCTTAGAGAGCAAAATATCAACAATGTCAGGATCGTCAGAATTATCGACAACAGAATATCCCCAAGATCCTTAGCTTACATAGCATCAAAATGATTTGATAACTTTCAGCATAAGTTAATATATTATGACTTGTGACTTAGCTTTCTTCTCGGTCTTTTTGGGCACTAGGATAGCCTGGATGTTAGGCAGTACTCCATCCTGGGCGATGGTGTTACGGATTGCCAGCTAGAGGTGACGAGGAATGTCTATCCTGGTTGGTCTGAATAACCTGGCCGTTTTCGGGTCAAAGTGAATCGATCATAAATTCATTAAGGCAGATTGGATGCGTAGGAGTTTGCAACAAGCGAATGGAATTCAAGATTTCTTGTGGCAGTGGATCATAAGTAAGGAAGGTTTGCTGCTTTAGCAAGCTCAAACCTAGAGCAGCTCTGAATGAGGCGGCTTCGACAGTTAAATAGGATTCAAGACTCTTCTTATGCCTCGTTTATATGGTGCATCTTTTAATTTTGCCTCCTCCCATCTACTCAGTCGTCTTCATCACTGTTACAACTCCAGGTTGTCAGGAACAAGTGTGCACCAACAACAACAAGTGTGCAACAACAACAAGTGTGCACAGTTCTCATGTCTGCTTATCACTTGAGGAAGTAACTAATCTCTGAGAAAAAAACCTTGTGTGTCAGTGTCAATCTTTTTAAAAGTTATGTCGAGGAATAAGATTAAAAAGCAAAACAGAAGGCAATAACCTATTGATATTAATCTAAGATTTTCAGGATTGCTGCTCGCTAGATGTTTTAGCAGTGTTGAAGAAAGTTCACCTGACTATCCTTGTATTGTGAAAATAAATATTAAATAACTAAAACCTTTTTCCAACGAGTGGAGTATTATTGTAAAGCTACGACACATTATTTCATGTGAAGTTATTTTAGTAAATTAATTATTTATTTTTGAGGACAGACACCTTTCTAATATGATTGATGTTTCTCAAAACCACCACATATATTATTATCCAAAATTTGTTTTACTTCAAAGATAATTTCAAACTTCTTATACAACTAAATATACAAGGTGTTAACAGGGCCGGTTTAACCCATACGCGAACTACGCGGCCGCATATGGCGCCACGAAAAAGTGGCGCCGTGGTGCCAACGGAACATTTTTTTTACGTGAACAACGTAATTTAATTTTGTTTATTTTTGCCCAGAGTTCAAGTATTCAAAGCACCACAATAAAGGCATTTATTCTGTTTGTACCAACAGCACTTTAAAAATTTGTATATTTGTACAGCACTACAACTCAAGGACTCAATGCCATTTGCAGTTTCGATTTGAAGTGAGCTTACGCAGACGCTCGGCAGTCGGCAGCGTAGCGCCAGCGCGGCACCTGTAGGTTTCATTTCACGACTCGCTCACAAGTAACCACGCCACTTGTCACAACAAGAAACTTCTCCTTTCTTTCACTCCCTTCTGCCTCTGATCCTAGAGCAGAGCATTACGTTGTATTGCACTCTTTTAGTTGTATACGTAGGCCTATACCGTATCGGTGTCGTATTGGCATTGTTTTGATGATTCATGATTGTTGATAAGCGAATGATTACGAGTGTTTTAAATTTAATTTATAATTAGCGCATTAAATAAGAAGAAAGTATAAACTGAATAAATGAGTAGGTATATATAGCCAATGGTAAAACCTCTTGCGAGCCGATACTATGAAAACAATGGCAGAAAAAAAGAAACCGTCTGGCACTTATAGAAAGCGTAAGGCGAATTTGGAAGAGGAAGAAAAAAAACCAAATCAATGAGTAGATTTTTGTAGAAATCATCTGGTGGCGAGTCCAGTCAGCCCAAAGAAGTCACGATAGAAGACGGCAATGACGTAGGTATTTATTTATTTATTTTCCAAGGAAAGATTAAAACAAGCAGCTGATCACAAACGGCAAACATTACGTCATTGCCGTCTTCTATCGTGACGTCGACGTCATGCTTGACGAGCATTAAGGCCTACGGCCTGTTTTTTTGGTGTGGCCTTGGTTTTGCTAAAGTTTATATGATAAGTATAAGTGTATAAATGTCACATTTCTGCAAATAATAAACAGTCTTTTATTGCAAGTTAGTATTCTTCTACCTAAACTTATAAAAAAAGTTCTTCCCAAAATTATTGGGAAAAAATTCACAAATACGGTTAAGTTATGTTCATGGGTTTTGGGGGGAGATTCGCTAGTTGGTTAGTGGCGCTGATTCGGGTGTTCGCTTAACTTTGAAAAATTCCTAGAGCCGGCCCTGGGTGTTAATAAAAACAAAAACTGTTTGATTGTAGATTTGTCTCACTCATCCTGTGTTAGAGTTTATAGTTCTCATTATTTGTTAAGAAAACTCAACAATTTTTATAACCAGCTTTTTTGATTAGCAGTACCTTCTAACATTGTTGTGGGATGAACAAAAACAAAATGGTTACATTTTGTTATGAATCCTTGAGTGAAGGCGCATTATGTCGAGTGGTTCATAGTAGCCTAACTAAGTCTCCTATTGCTGTTCAGCGTAGATTTAGAAGAAGGTTTAACGGATATCCTCCTTCAAAGAACACAATAACGGTTCAAGCTTTTACTGTAAAGTAAAAAAACAATACTTTAAAGAAAGTAAGTATCTTGAATCTTTTTGATTCAAAGGACCGAATTAATAAAAAAGGCTAGTTTAGAAAACAGTTGTAGGTAAAAGCCATTAGTAATCAAGGACAGCTGGGCTCAGTTTCGAGCCAGCAAAGAGCTTCATACTTTTCTCAGGATCGAACCGGCGCCTTTTGATTAGGATAAATACTGAGCTATCTAGCTATAACGTCACGTATGTACTATATTCATGCACAATTTTAAGTCTCTAGCATGTTCCGAGAAGGTTTAGGTCTTCTAACGATAGTCAATCACCCACGTTATTCCCCATGAGAGTTATATGGAGGATAAGTTTAATTTTTGGACTAGAAATTAAATTCTAAAATGCAAATTTTAGAATTTTCCCGAGTTTTTTGGCTTGTCAAGACCAACAACCATGCCAAATTCATAGTCTGTCGTTCACCTTAAAAGTGGTCTCAAAATATATTTGAGTTTAGGCGGTAATTTCATAAAATGGTCATTTGCTTTATTTATATTTCAGATACAAGGTTTTATTCTAATAAATTTTTGAAGAAATAGTATAATGTCTGTAATAAAATGGTGTCTAGAGCGTGAGAGTTTTGGTGTTCGTGAGATATGAGCGCTGTTTTGGAACGCATCCCCGCGCTACTCTTCCCCTGTGGAGTGTGTCAACTTCGGATATGGTCATATAATCAACAATAAGGCTAAAATAATAATATGCCCCCAACAACAATCAGAAGTCCTAATGTGTTACACTTTTAGTGCGAACCCTCTATAGATACTAGACTAATTGGGCCATCATAGTCTATGGCTTCGCTCATAATGAATTTAGTTCACCAATATCCACCCCTGGCTTGTAAAATTTTTCTATTTTGTTGCTGCGTACTAAAACATGAAATGAATGAACTTCATATGAACTGTGAGGTGAATAAATTAGTGTAGCCTATGTTAATCATAGACAGTATTCATTGTTATAAACAGTACCTATTCAAAATTATAAATTCTTTGAAACAACTATATTAGCGAATTTCCCTATAGGGAAGTAGCTATTACCGTAGGTGGCACAGTAAGACCTGGAGCTGGCACCGATATACTTTTTCATTTTGATGTCCCTAGAGGCCAAAAACATTATTCGCTTAAATTTTTATATAATGTATATATACTTTTTATATATAATATATACAACTTGTATATATATATATATACGTCCGTGATAACTTGAGTAATTATTTTTCTCTGATTTAGATGAAATTTGGTTTGAAGGTGTAAACAGGGATAAACTTGAATGAGTTCACGAACCAGCATGATCAGACCATGGGAACAGGATTTTACCGGGGGTTTTATGGGGTAAAAATGGGTTTTCTCATTTTTGACGAAAAACGAAAAACGAAAAATTTCCCTATTTCTCTCTAGACCATTTTAAAGAGCTTAAAAATAAATAATTTAGTATACCAAGGTGTTTTTGTACGGTTATTGGTTACAGTGAAAAAAAAAAAATGCAAATTTAAAATTTCCATGCTATTCTTACGGCTTGTTTATGGAAATATTTTGATCAAACTTGGCAAATTTATTTATTTTATAGTAAGCTACTAATATATTTTACTAAAAACCACACTTTATTTGCCTCCCTGTAGCAGCAAACCTAGGCAATCATTTAACGTCATATTATTTAATAGATTTAATTTTCGATTCAGCAAATGGAAATTTGATTAATCTGCAGTTTAGCTGCGGCGGGGGTATTTTTCAATATCAATACCACCACATAGTTAACTGTTAATATTTAAAATTCCACATATTTTTTTGTAACATTACGGATTCCGCAGCAAGTGGCAGCCCCTGAGTCAAGTGTTGTGTTTTCCGCTTCAATCCAGACCCAACGTCAACAGCTTGACAAGTTCTTCCCCACAATTATTGATCTAAGGCAAGTTGATGTTGTTATGGTAAGTGATTGGCGGCTGTCACAGGGATGGAAACACAAGCCTGTCAAAACAGAATTTCCTGTTCTCCCCCTTTGTGAGTTCTTTTGAACTCCTGGACTTGTTTTTAGCCAATTTCTCATGTAGTAAGCTATTTTTTCAACTTAAATGTCTGATTTTATAGACTAAAAGGTTTAAAGGTTAAGGTGAAACATACTGTGCTATGAAATGAGGTTTAGATAAAAGTAAGTAACGTATGGTGATCCGAAACTGGACAAGCTGTCCTTGATGGTGGGCTTATTATGGTGGTTCTGCCTATAAAATACAGGGTGATTCTACATTATTTTTACACTTTAGAAACTCTAAAAATGAAAAACTATACAACCTATCATCACGGGGTGAGAATGAGAATCAATTGTCGTGATAATAAGTTGTTTATACATAGTTTATTGAAGGAGGAGATTCTGAAATTTTTTGTTTGACACAACTTTGGTAATAAGTTAATAGTTACAGATTTAGCCACGAGACATTTTTTAAAATTTTAACTACTATTTTACATTAATTACACTCTTTACCTCTCTGAATCTCAAAACTCATACTCTACGTAGAATTGTCAAACGTTTTAAGTAATTTCCCTTGGGGTCAATTAGTTCTATAGGTTTTACCACTCAGTTATTGTTGTCCACATTATTGAAAGCTGCGAGGAACCTTCAAAAAGCAAAAAAGTGTTCCGTGTTTTAGAGTTTGGGACGATTTCAATCATCAAATGAATGTGTGCTGTGCAGCCAGAGGAGGATACATAGAGCATTTTTAGTTTTTAGCCATAATCTTTTTGAATCTTTTTATAAAATCCCCTTCTATTGTGTACATACCTTTTTGAGGTGCAAGTTTCAAAAATTTTTAACTGTGAAATTAATTTAATATCATAGTTAAAATCTAAAAATGTCTGTAGAAGCTACTTTTGCAACTATTTTCACCAAAGTAGTGTAAACTAAACTCTAGAATCTCCTCTTTCAATTGATTCTCATTCCATGATGATAGGTTGTATGGGTTTTCATTTAGGCTATAGAGTTTCAAAATGTTACCAATAATTTAGAATCACCCAGTATTTGAGTCAGTAAAGCTGCACAGGTCATCCACTCTATTTTTGCTCACCAAATTTATCCTCGGTTTAAAATACACGCACAGGTGTTAGTTTCTGTATCAAAGTAACGGGAAATCGGCAAATAATTCAATAGAAAGAACGTATAGTGTTTGGAAAGGTCATTAGGATGTTTTGGAAAAATTGATTTATTAGGTTACCCAACAAAGCTGGGCTCCCCTCACACGTATTCTAAGCTCTCAGAAGAAACTATACAAAGTAAATATTAATGCTCTATATACGCCATTACTAGAATTGCACATGTTGAATTTTAAAATCACACTTTTTTAACTGCCACACAAGTAACTGGTTAGATAGAATATTTTGTAGGATCCATATGTTTATTTTTCTACAGTGATGCTTTAGGTTATAGAAAATATGTAAATATATCAGCATTAGTCAAACTATGGTAATATTTAAGGACAAATTTTTACAAATTTTATAAACAAAGCCTACCATAAACAAGTGGACCTATGAATCAATCAGTATTATGTTTTATATTGTTTTATTATATTACAATATATTGTTTTTTAACATATAAAATCTAAATTAGCCACTGTTTAGATTTATAAGTAACATCGCTTCAGTCCGAGGTAAGGCAATGCAGCAGAGTCAGCATCCTGAGATCTGCTGAGGATTGCTGCTGAAGCTAATGATGTTGCCTCAGCGTTAAGCTGAATTTTGATCCGTAAAAGACTGATGTAGCGTTTCGTTGTGTAATATCAGGTTAAACATTGGCTGAAAGTACCGCATATAGATAATGTTTTTAAAACGTTTTTATTAGGTCGCTTTCTTGTCCGGTACAAATTTTGCAATCAATTTTATACTAACTTCCCGATGAACTAGAGACTTGAAACTTGAAACATAGCTCACAAATGGAAGACAATGCAATATTATATAATTTAAT